CTTTGATTGTTGGTTTCCAGGAGAAACTGTTTCCCCGGTGAATTGAGTGTATTGTGTCCACGAATGCCCAATCTTAACTTGAATTTTCCAATGTGTTTTGAAGGGCTTAATGTCAGCAAGAGGGGTGAATGCTTGAACAGCTGCCATTTTCTTACAGAAATAGTGAAGTGGTAATGGTAAAGCTTTGAAAGGTGAGTTCTTTCTAATGCAGGTCCCTATATTTATAGTAATCGTATGGAGCCTTTAGTTTTATTAGGTTTTAGAGAATATAGGCCGTATAATATAATTTGGGATTAGGATCTTAAAGGTATATGCTTGATTTAGGGAGATTTATTTGCATATAATTTCCGATTTACTTGTTTGGTATATCAATATCGAACTGAATATGGATATTGAAGAGATTGTGTGATTTTTAATACCAACTAATAATGGAAATACAATTAGTTAGAATTCTATATCTTTCAATATAAAGAAATACAAATAATTGAGTTTTGCATTTAAAGAGATAATTTTTAAATTGGCATTGATAGTTTGTATTGATATGGAAAGATCTTTGCGAGATTTGTGTCTAATTATTAGTCAAATTAATTTAGAGAGTAGTATAATTATCTAATAAGTTACAATACTGTATCTTTCAATATATTATAGGGAGATATGGATTAATTAGCTTTGCATTTAATTCACCGTCTACACTATATATTTTTACATTGGCATTAATAGTTTGAGTTGATATGGTAAGATTTTTGCGAGATTTGAGTGCAATTAATCAAAAAATTAATTGCTAAATTATTCCCGATTTTAGAATAAGTAAAGAATATGCTTGATTTGTTATTATATGGAATATAAATAAATGCGTTTTATTTTAGGAAGTGTAAATTATGTGATTTGTTTGTTAAGGCAAAATATAGAGTAGTATATTTGATCCGGAAAAATAGTTATGGTAATGTTTGACTTGTGTGGCTAATGTTTTTATTTGCTTATATCTACTGCAGATTCCTAAAAAATCAAAAGGAGATTCATGATGGGCCTAAACATATTGTAAGCCCAACAGTCATCTCCCAATGACATAATCGGGTCAGCCATATTTAAAAAAACAGGATCCGGCTGTAGGATCCGGGATCCGCATCCCAACAGCGGGAATATTACAATTTTACCCCTCCGCATATTTTTTTATTTTGTCATCAAAACTTTAATTGTAATGGCATTCTCTTGTAATTATTTACAGATTGTAAGGTTATTTTTCAGGTAATCCTTCCCAATTGACCTATTACTGCCTTTTAAGTTATTGAGTGTTGAGACTTGAATGTGACATTAATTTGTTATTTTGGAGGATGATTTTCTTATTATCTACTCCCTCTCTTTCAAAATATAATGTTTTACTAAAAGCACATAGGTAAAAAAAAATTTCTTTTTAAGACTATTATTTAATATTTGATTTTGAAAAAATCAACCATTTACAGAAAAAATGCAGAGTATAAATAATTAAAAATATTAAATATATTTAATATTTGCATAGAAAGTTGTAAAATTTCCTATATTTTGAAACAAAGAAAAATCTTTAAAACATTCTATAATTTGAAACAGAGGAACTATATCAAATTGCCGGATTAAATCACAATTGACACGTAAACCTTTGGTAATAATTAATATGGATATACTTAACATAAAAAATCATGAATGTAACTGGATTGTCTAGAGTACATAAATAACAATAAAAAAACAAAAAAAATAACTAATCTATTTACACATAATTAATTTTGAATAAGTTTTTAACTGATTCTTAAAAGATTGTCTACAGAGTTATTGTGGAAATTGTTTAAAGGCAAGTTAAAGATGACTTACGTGGAAGTTGTAGATATGCTCAACTTGTGTGTGGAAGATTGTCGGTAGTTTATCGACCGCGAAGAGGTCTATACCTCCGACCGATGGGTTCCAAAACTCAGCAGAAGGTTCAATTTACACGGCTCTACAGAGATTATCAATGATCTTTAGAGAACAAATTTAGTTATAGTTTCTGCCTCATCTAGTTATGTCTTCAAGATTTTAAAGCATGTATATCAATTAATATATATATTCTTCTCGAATTGAATTGTATGTAAATGATTGAATATTCATAGATGTACAAACATACTATGGATATTTTAATTTTATGTAAATTCAAACTTATTTATTTAAATTGTGCACTAAAAGCTCACCAAGCATGAGTGCATGATAATATTACTATTACCAAAGACAACAAGTACAAATCAAACGAAATTTATGATATCAACATTGCAAAAATGGTGAAATACAACTGAAAAACTCAATGTTGAAAAATAAGAATCGAAGATCACACAAAGAAAAAAAACTTATAGAAATCTGCTCCTTAAAAATACATATTCTGCCATTGGAGGAGAAGTATTGTTCATTATGTAGAGGAAAAGATGAAATCACAAAATCTGAAATTAAACGTGATAATGAGGAATAAAGATTGGACAGTGTTTTCTTCACAAATTCAAATTTAACTAGACTCTACTATTTAGAAAAAAAAATTGACAGTTAAATAGACTCTACAATAAAATTTATTTGGATCATCAAACTAAACTATTTTATCATGTTAGAAATCATAAGTGTTTATTCAAAAACCAATTGCTAATGGTAGACTAACAAATGTTTCTTATATATATTATTTAATACAATTACAAATTTGACAACTCCATATAAATTAATTTTTATTTATTAAAAATTGCACTGTATACCAGTTTAACATAGCTGCGAGTTCGATCCTCGCCGGAGGCTTTTAGCCTTTTACCAATTTTAATAACTAGTTTATCTCATTTTTAATATTTCAGGGCCAAAAAGCTATTTTTCTTGGGTCTGAGTTTGACTAGAGAATCTCTTAGTCTTTCTTGGCCCAAATTCTTATGTTTTAGCATTTTTATAAATTCAAAAATTGTTTTCTTTTATTTTGTCAACTAAAAAGAATAAAATTATTTTCCTTTTCTGAAAACTTATTAAATAATTGTTTTCAGTAAGTAAATTCTTCAGCAGAATTTGTCATTTTAAATTTATTTTACGGTGAGGATTTGTAGCCTAGTAGTTTCTAGTTTCCATCGTTGTTTAAACCACTCAAATTCAAACTTGTATATATTTTTTTTTTGGTCGGATCAAACTTGTATATTATATGGTGTTAACAATTTTTATTTTATTTTTTAGTAGTTTCTCCAGTTTAGAACATAATACTATAATATATTCACATTATATCTTAATTTTATTCTGAGATAAGTAAGCAGCTAACTAACATTCAACATTTTAACTTTATAATACTGGGCCTCAATAACTTGGGAGTTATATAAACTAAAAAGCCCAAATTGAAATCCCCCTCGAAAAGCTTCAGTGAAAGAAAGTCCGTCCACGCGAAGGCATAAGCGCGTGACGCGCGTGTCATCTAAAATCGTCGTCGTCGTCCACCGACTTCAATCTGATTTGTAGAATCGCCGTTGGGTTTAACCAGAGAGATATCTACGAAGGATGATTATCGAAAGAGCTCGAGTTCCGTTGAGCCGATGGCAACAAGCGGCGGTGGCTATGGGATCTGCTATCGGTGCGTTGGTAGATCCTCGTAGAGCGGATCTGATCGCTGCTCTTGGTGAAACCACTGGTAAACCAGCTTTTGAAATGGTTCTTGAGAGAATGAAGAAAAGCGAAGAAGGAAGAGTGAGTCTTTTCATATTTCTCGCTTCTCTTATTGTTTGATCAAATCATTGATCTTTGATTGATTTTGAAATTCTTCGATTTAGCGATTCTGGAATAAGTAATTTATACGAATCGATTTGATTTGATTACCAATTTGATCAATGAATGATTTGTCTATGGTTCTAAGATTTTTGTTACGCTGATATTTGGTGGTATCTTTACTTTGAAGGCTATATTATTGGAGAGACCTCGTGTAGTGTCAGAGCAAGTAGGTCATGCTTGGGATCTACCTGAAAACACATTTGGAGCTGCATATGCTAAATTCATGGGCTCTAGAAACTTCTCTCCCGATGATCGTCCGCCCGTGAGATTCATGGAGACGGATGAATTGGCTTATGTTGCAACACGGGCGCGGGAAGTTCATGACTTATGGCACACTCTGTTTGGTCTTCCTACGAATCTTATCGGCGAGTCGGCTTTGAAAGTTATAGAGTTTGAGCAGATGTATCTTCCGATGTGTATGCTTTCTGTGATTGGAGGCACTGTGAGGTTCAACGAGAAGCAGAGATCAATGTTCTTGAAGCATTACTTTCCTTGGGCTGTTCGAGCTGGAAGACAATGCACTGACCTCATGTGTGTGTACTACGAACGTCACTTCAGTGAAGACTTAGAGCAAGTCCGGAGAAAATGGGGAATTATCCCTGCTCCTCAACATCCTAAATGATGTATTTTGTTCCAGTTTAATCTGTTTTCGAATGCATTCGAATCACTTAGTTAATGTCAATTCTCTTGTTAATGTGTAGTGGATTCGATTACTCTGAATCTCTGATGTTCAGAAGTTGTACACGCATTTGATGGTTAATAACAGATAACTTGGAAGTTTTTGATTCAAACATTTCAACAGAATATTACAGATAAGAGTTGAGATAGGGAGAGACAAGAAATCGACTTCTTATCATTTAAAGGCTCACATCAAACAGTCTCATAGTGAGATAACGCAGCAAAAGACAATGGATAGGCATATGCAATTATTTTACTTGCTACCAGTGAAGAGATAACCCAAGGATGATCCTCCTCCAGGAGCTGCATGAACTTTGGTCGAAGGACGGTCCTGGAGAGATAAAGAGAGAGAGAGAGTGTGTGTGTGTGAGTATCATCACCATTTCAATTCACGGGTATTCGAGTAATGGACACGAAAACAAAACATACAGTGAGGAAGTTGCCGGTGTTCTGTCCTTCAGCTCTGGCATAGTTGTTAACAGGAGTTTTGATACCAGCTGGAATCTGCTTGTTAAGCTCTGCTGGCTCAACAGAAGTAGTAGCAGTCGTGAGTGCGGTTGCGGTCGCAGCTGTTACTGGTGGTGCAGTTCCGTTGTTAGCTTCAGTAGGAGCAGGACGAGGAGCTGGAACTGGCTTAGGAGCAGGAGCGTCACCACCACCAAAGAGATAATCTAATGAGCTTTGACCTCCACCACAGCTGTTTCCACGACCCATTGTATAAAATGAAACCTAGCACAACAAAGCAAAACCCGAAATCTAATAAGAAACTATAACTTCGAAGCATCAGAGATAACAGATTCAGAGCTGTAACAAAGTGAGTCTGAATTCAATTGTGAAAATGCTGCTTCTAGTATCATCAATGCATCATAATTTCTTAAAATTCACAATCAGATATGCAAGATTCAGAGTTGTAGCAATGTCAATTATACAAAACCATATAATCATCAACTCGAAATTCAAAATTCTCGAAGAATCTTGGGAGAATGAAACGAAGAAACCTAGTTTTTAGCCAATATAGGAACAAGAGCGAAGAACAATCAGATCTAAAAGCAGCGAAATCAAATCACCATTTCTAAATTCCTGAATCTACGAAATCACTAAAGACGTAATCTCTTAAAACTGAGGATAAAAAACACCGTAATTCGAAGCATAATCGATGAATCGAAACGTATGAATCTACGATCTAACTTCGGCTAAGACACCAGAGAAACGAAATCAAAGCGATCTGGAGAATTTTAGGGTTAGAGAAACAAACCTTTTTGGTGAAATTCGCGATCAGATCTAGAAGAAGAAACTGAAGGAGAAGAAGCAAAACGCAGACTCGGAACTGACAACTGAGTCATAATAAGCGAGCCACTCTATTTATAAGCTCAGACCGGTTTTGTTTGTGTCAGGGTTCCGGTTTAATATATCGGTTAACCAGAAAAACAAACGATTTCAAATTCTGATTAAATAAGACAAAAAGATTCACATCTTTCAGCGAAATATCTTCATTAATAATGATATTATTCCAAAACCGGTGATAATTTTATTGGAGCTTTGTGAAATTTCAGATAATTATTTTGGATTTGGAGTAAAAATTATTCAATTAGTAAAGAGATAACCAGTGAAATTATTGGGTGATTTAAGAAATTTCACGACGATGGTGAGGTTCGTGGGCCATTGTCATGTAATGGCCAGTCTTTGTCATTGTTCGAATCTAATAATTATTAGCCGTTTTCATCATTTAAAAATTTGAACTTTGAAACAAAAGATATTTTGGTGTTTCTGAAGAAAACAAAAATTAGAAACTTTTTTGACTTTGAACTGTTTTAAGTCTCATGTAGCAGCTGCTACTGCTAGTTCATGTTTAGTGTGGTTGAAGAAATAATTTCCAGTTGCAAGCAAAACATTAAGCTCAAAACACCAAATTGCCATGCGAATCCTAAACCGAAAACAGTGGAAGTCTCTTTTTGTCTTTCGGATTCGGTTTTGAAGGCAAGCGTTTGGACTTCCTGAATGATGAATAAGCTTCGACTTCTTTGACTGCCAATGCGGGTAAAAGTGAGTTCTTTGCGGTTTGGAATGGCGATTGACCACTGCAGTTGCAAGAGTTAGGAGAGATGGAAAACAACCTTACAGGCGACAACATCAGCTTCATCAAAGAATATTATACTTGGAGAAGCAAGTCGAGCTCTTTAAAATGTAGATCCGCAATAATGCTTCACCTTCTCCAACATACATAGAAAATAGCTCTGCACAGCTGAATCGCATCCCACATAAAAACACAAGAAAAATCAGTAAACATGTTTCACAAAGAAAGTAGGGTTTTTCGTAACTTTCTGAACTATATACCTTAACGAAAAGAAGGACGCTTGAGAAACATTTGCAGTGACTTAAGCAAGAGTTGTCTACTTGTCTTTGAATAACCTGGAGGAACATGGAGAAGTATCCCACGAATCAGCGATATGCCCATTTTCACAAAAAAGCAGCTGAATGTTTCATTGCCCATTCAACAGCTTGCTGGAGCTTTTTCTGTCACAAAGAAATAAACCATTAATCGCAATGGAGAAAACAGGACGACCAAGTAACAATGAAAGTTTTAGAAATTTATTTACCTTTAGGTCTTTAAGACCACCAACATCGTCCCATGTCACTTGAGATGCCTCTTGTTATTCTTGGACCAACCACGGATTTTGCAATCTTGAAGTCTTGCAATTTTAGTATAAGAGAATCTTAGGATCTTTTACTTGCAGATATGGTTGCTTTATGACAAAAAGCTTCCAAATCTGCTCAAACATAACCGTTTCAAGATGTTGCTATGGCTTGAAGACCGACACTAGGATCTAAATTGACTTTCTTTGTGTACAGCGGATCAAAATCTAGTCTAAGAGAAAGAGCACAACTAAATGAAACTGGATTTATCGGTATGTAAACAAAGTAAATGTGTTCTCAAAGTGAGAAAAAACCTATCATTTAGGATGTTGAGGAGCTGGGATGATTCCCCAGTTTCTTCGAACTTGCTCTAAGTCTTCACTAAAGTGACGCTCATAGTACACACACATGAGGTCAGTACATTGTCTTCCTGCTCGAGCAGCCCAAGGAAGGTAATGCTTCAAGAACATTGATCTCTGCTTCTCGTTGAACCTCACAGTGCCTCCAATCACAGAAAGCATACACATCGGAAGATACATCTGCTCAAACTCTATAACTTTCAAAGCCGACTCGCCAATAAGATTCGTAGGAAGGCCAAACAGAGTGTGCCATAAGTCATGAACTTCACGCGCCCGTGTTGCAACATAAGCCAATTCATCCGTCTCCATGAATCTCACGGGCGGACGATCATCGGGAGAGAAGTTTCTAGATCCCATGAATTTAGCATATGCAGCTCCAAATGTGTTGTCTGGTAGATCCCAAGCATGACCTACTTGCTCTGACACAACACGAGGACGTTCCAATAATATAGCCTTCAAAGTAAAGATACCACCAAAGATCAAAACACCATTGTAACCAAAATCTTAGAAACAAAGACAAATCATTCATTAAGTAAAATCTTAATCAATTAAAACCTAAGAATTGTTCATAGCTCAAATTGTAATCAAATCGATTCGCTAATACAAAAAATCTCCAATTCATTCACAAATCTATGATTTGAAAAACTCACTCTTCCTTCTTCGCTCTTCTTCATCCTCTCAAGAACCATTTCAAAAGCTGGTTTACCAGTGGTTTCACCGAGAGCTGCGATCAGATCCGCTCTACGAGGATCTACCAACGCACCGATAGCAGATCCCATTGCCACCGCAGCTTGTTGCCATCGCCTCAACGGAACTCGAGCTCTTTCGATGATCATCGTTCGTAGAGTTGACCTATTGTATAAAACGAAACCTTCCAACAGTGGAATCTACGATCTAAGCTCGCCTATGACATCAGAGAAACGAAATCAAAGCAATCTGTAGAATTTTAGGGTTTGAGAAACAAACCTTTGGTGAAAACTCGCGATCAGAGATATAGAAGAAGAAGCAAACGCAGACTCCGGTATTTATGAAGAAAACAAAATTAGAAACTTTTTTACTTTTGAGCTGTTTAAGACTCATGTAGCAGACGCTACTCGTAAATCATGTTTAGTGTGGTTGAAGTAATAGTTTCCAGTAGCAAGTAATATTAAGCTCAAAACACCAAATTGCCATGAGAATCCGAAAACAGTGGATGTCGACTTCTTTTTGTTAATCGGAATCGGTTTTGAATCAGATCTTTTCGCTTTCCTGAATGATGAATAAGTTTCGACTTCTTCGATTGTCAATGCGGGTTTAAGCGAGCTTTTAGCGGTTTGGAAATGGCGATTGAAGACGGCGGTTGCTTCGATGTTTTCTCTAAGTGAGACAGTTCCGCTTTCTCTGCATAGACCCTCGAGCTCGGCACCTGTAAAGAGATCGGTTTCTTCAGCTATTTTCCTGAGATCCACGTCGTCTCCTAGTCTCATGTTGCGTGTATGCACTTGCAGTATTTCAAACCGGGCTTCTAGATCAGGCGGTGGCACGTATAGCACCTAAACAAGACATTTGAAGAAAAGGGTAACAATAAGGTTTGTTATTTCAAAAGAACTCGTCTGATCAAAAGATACAATACGAGGACTTACAAGATCAAATCGACCAGGTCGCATAAGAGCAGCATCAATTGCATACGGGCGGTTTGTGGCAGCCAAGACGAGGATTCCCTAAAACCAAAACTCCATCAATATCATTGCAACCCAAAACAAAGATAAAATCTTTAAAAGCCTATGAGCGTTTGTTTACCTTTGCTTCTTCAAGACCGTCCATTTCGGTTAACAGTGTAGATAAAAGCCTTTCTCCAACTGTAGAACTATTGCTTGAGCTCTCATCACCTCTACGAAGACAGAAGGAAATAAATATGTTAAGAAGAGTCTATAACACGAAGCAAAAGTTAGAAGAGATAGAGACAAACCTTTTACAGGCAACAACATCAGCTTCATCAAAGAATATTATACTTGGAGAAGCAAGTCGAGCTCTTTGAAATGTATTCCGCAATAATGCTTCACCTTCTCCAACATACATAGAAAATAGCTCTGCACAGCTGCATCGTACCCCACACAAAGACACAAGAACAAATCAGTTCCTTAAACCAAGTTTCACAACCAAAAGGGGATTTCCTTAAACGTGATCTATTAAGTTCTCAACTTTCTAATCAACAAAAACTATACCTTAAGGAAAAGAAAGAGGCTTGAGCAGCATTTGCAGCAGCTTTAGCAAGAGTTGTCTTTGAGCAACCTGGAGGACCATGTAGAAGTATCCCACGCATCGGCGATATGCCCATTTTTACAAATGCAGCTGAATGTTTGATTGGCCATTCTACAGCTTGCTGGAGCTTTTTCTGTCACAAAGAAACAAAAAAAAAAAAACCCATTAATCGCAATTGAAAAAACAGGACAACAAGGTGCAAAATGAAATATTTTTAAAAAGTATTGACCTTTAAGTCTTTAAGACCACCAACGTCGTCCCATGTCACTTTAGGGATTTCAACTGTGATGCCTCTGTTTATACTTGGACCAACCACAGATTTTGCAATCTTGAAGTCTTGCGATATTAGGATAAGAGGATCTGAGGATCTTTTACTTGCAGATATGGTTGCTTCGCGACATAAAGCTTCCAAATCTGCCCCAACATAACCGTTGCAAGATATTGCTATGGCTTGAAGATCGACACTAGAATCTAAATTGACTTTCTTTGTGTACAGCTGAAAAAAAATAGAAAACATGACAATCACGAACAAACTTCCTATTTACGAAAATCCCATTTAAGAAATCAAGAACTCGATAATTACCTGCAGGATTTTTAAACGATCATCCTCATTTGGCGTGCTCACTTCAACTAAAGCATCAAATCGTCCTGCCCTTCTTATCGCTGGGTCAATCGCATCCACCCTTTTGACAAGATCGGGGAAAGCCATTGGATCATTGCATTCAAAACCGATGTTACTTAAAACTAATATACTGTTTATGGTAGACAATAACCTATTTGTGGATGCTACAACAACAACTTTCGGTGCAGATGATGAAGGCTTGTTTGAGTCCATGAGTGTAAATAGTTGAGAAGCAATACGAACATCTTGCTCTCGTCTGCATTGTAGTGAGAACCAAAGTATTCTCATTCTCTTAAAGATCTCATTAAAGATAGCAACTATAAACTAGGGGTGACGCAATACCTAGCATCACGACGAGGACAAAGAACATCGATTTCATCAATAAAAATCACAGATGGCTTGTCTGAAACAGCGTGAGAAGAAGCCTCAGCAAAAGCTTCCCTTAAGACTTTCTCGCTTTCTCCAGCATGTGCTCTATGTACAGAATGAGGGCTAAACAGAGCATTTGACACACAAAGACAAATCATAAATCCGCTATAGTCTCTATCACTCCAGAGCATAAATTATACAGAAGCTACAAAACAAAAGTACCTTAAAACAATCAAATGTGCATCACATTCTTGGACAACAGCACGGACCAAGCTTGTCTACAAAATCCAAAATTTTCAATACAGAGCGGTCGAATTAGCTTCTGTAAGATCAAAGCTGAGAACTTTGAAGAACCCAACACACTGAAAAGTTCAAGCTTGAAACAGAGTTTCTACCTTGCCGGTTCCAGGAGGACCGTAGAGAAGCAATCCTCTAGGCCACTGCAATGATAAGTAAAAGCAGAGCTAATTAAACAATTGAAAAACGAAGAGAGAAGCTATGAATCCAACATATGTGTTTATGTGTGTACTTTGAGACCAAGAGTTCGAGCTTCGAGAGGGTAACGAAAAGGGAAGATAATGAGTTCTCGAAGCGCTTGCAGAGCTCTCTCGTTGCCACCAATTTCAGCTTCCGCTCGCCATTTCTCATCGCTGACGATGTTGTCGCAGACACTGCTTTCGGTTTCCATCAAAAAGAACCAAGCTTTGGGGTTACCAAGTTGTGGGCTTTGCAGGGGTTTATACGCCGGAGTTCGCAGATCACCACCGGGGCACGAAATTGATTTTCGACAATAATGTTAGGGTTTTTGTTTTTTTCTTGTGATATTCCAATTTTACCCTATTTTCTACTAACGTTTGAGATTGAGCAAAATACAGAATCAAGTGGTTCAAGACTTAACATTTCCTCTTATTAGTCCCTTTTTTGTTCAATGTTCAAACCAGTTTTGAGAACATTGAAAGAATGTTTCTTTGTATAGGATACAATGGATAACAAAATTTGATCTAACAGATAGTTTGTTTAACATGAATAGGAGGGAATTAGTGTGACGGTGCTTGGAATCTCACGCTCCCGGCAGAAGCCTGGTTTGCGGCACGGTTACTTCCAAAATTCTTCCGGTTTGATTCACGAGCGATTCTCGATCCAAACTAAATCACAACCAAAGTCCAAATCAATAGTGAGAGAGAGCTCACAACACAAAGCTTTTAACTTTACTAGTTTTTGAAGATGAGTTCTCTCAGAAAGTTCTCCTCTTCTTACCTGAATTGCTCTCTTAGGCATCTTTGCAACTTCATGTAAACCAAGCAACTTTGCAACCTTCAAGATTTTAGGTAACATTTTGAGTTTATGAAGTTTCTAGAACTTTATGGTAGCTTTAGCTTAGATTTACTCACCTGTCTAAGAATCTTCTTGTCTCCCTTTCCACTTGGTTGCTCAAGATCCGCAATTTCCCACAAGGGAATGTCAAGGAGAGTCTTTATCACATCTTCATCTAAGAACGGGAATCGCCCCTGAACATGTAATATAAAAAACATTTCAGAATAGAGCACAAAGAATAAACGATTCAAGTTTCTAGTTGTGGCTTGACACATACCTCTTTTCCGTTATCTGCAATGCATCGATCATCTCGACCCAAATTTCTTTTCCAAATTCTCTGCATATCTAATTTCATTTCTTGATCCAGCGCAACCCAACTGAAAAAATGAACAAAACTTGTGAGATGAGGTTCTTAATAGTTTACATCCATAAGAAATGTATACGTAGACACATCTATACATATATGAATAATATACCTTCCGTTTCGATATTTTGTTCTGTGCCTACCATAACCAGCACATTGCTCATCAGCACCAGCACCAACAAGCAGGATTCTAGCATCAGACTTATATTTGACCCGTTGTTTATCTTCTTCTACACTTGGATTTTCATTATCTTCGTGAATCCAACCATCACCGCGAGCAGCTAACCATAGTGCTGTTCCTATGTTAAGGTCCTAGAGCATTGCAACAAAGATTGTTCAACTCTCATCAAGTTCGGAAGAATGTAATCAGAATGCTCAAGACTTTGAGGTTTACCATGTAAGTGTCTGCAGGATTTATGAGTGACATAACACGTTTGGTCTCAAAGGTTAGTTTTGACAGATCAGCATCAATCTCAACAAGTTTCCACCTGAATATTCCAAGAACATTTGTATCAACATAAATAGTAATAGATATATGCGTTTTTCATAAAAGGTTTTCGGAGTTCAACCTTCTCAAAGGTGCAATCTTTTTGAGTTCCTTTATTCCAGCCTTGGCGGAGATCCTATCAGGAGCATTAGGACCGTCAAAACTGACATTAAGGAGATCCACCTCATCTGAATAAATAGATATTAATTCTTTTGATTAGTTTCAGAATTGTTGTCCGAGACAGAAACAGTGTCGAGGAATAGTTACATTTTGGATCCAGGCACTGATCCAACAGCGCAGCAAGAATCATTGAATCCAATCCACCAGAGAAAAGAACAGCTACTGGGACAGCTTCTTTTTCTCCCTGTTTATGCCAATACGAACGTGTTCAGAAGAAAACACATCGCGTCGGAGAAAAAGAAAGTTAAAGCTCATACCTGATAAATGCTATGAAGTGAAGTTCGCCGCCTCACTGATTCCTTTAACACGACCAAAACTGTCTGCGCTAATCCTAAAGCTAAACCTTGTCAGACATATGAGATTTGGAAAGAACTGGAGGAGTCAAACGAATTTTAAGTAGTACCTAAAGAAGTTGAAACAGATTTGTCTTCCTGAATTCCACTATGCGATGACGTTGATAGATCTTCAGGTCTAGGTACAACTAATTCCCTTTTCCATTCAATCAATTCTTTCCAGATGGTATTTCTCCATTCGTGTTTTGTGACTTCACCACGAATACATAATTCAGAAACCCCAAAAGAAATGCTGTATACGCCACATGGAAGCTCTTCCCAAAATCTATGAATGCTATTACCATTTTCAGTATCCAATCCTGCCAAAAAACAACAGATGTTACTTCGCCTTGGAGTGTACATAAAGAGACAAAATTACTCTACTAAGCAGTACAAACCAGAACCTTGAGCAACTGAAGAAGCTGGTGAAACAGACGATAGAAGAAAACGAGGGTCTTCCACAGTTGGCCAGTGAACAAGGAGGCTCCTCCGACCAAAAGCATCTTTACCAAACCATAGCGTTCTTGAGGTTTCCTGATAGAGAAAAAGGCGGTAAAAGCAAGTAAAAATGCTACATAAAATATAGTGGCAAGTTCCAAAATTACCTGCCAATATATAATGGCCCAGGGGCCTTTAATCATCGAAAGAACATCTGGAACTAAAGCTTTTGCTTTCTCTAAAGACTTCAAAAGCACTTCAGTATCATTATCATAGCAGTTGAGTTCAATTCCACCAAATACTTCGCCTGGAGGGAAAATATACAAATCAATTTCGTATAGTGTAAAAGAAAACATATGATAATCAAAAACCTTAAGAATAAAACCACACCATTGTAAGCTAGAATGTTCCCAGAAGAATCCACCAATGGCTGCCTTATAGGACTAGTTCCTCTAAGCTGTAATGTAGAACCAATAAAATGCAATTCACCCAAAGAAGTAGTCTCCTCAAGCTCATAAGTTCCTCCACTAGCCTCAGAAACAGAGAGAGTCACAGAATCTTGACCACAAGTTGATGCATTTTGTTGAAGATGAATAGTCTTTTCTCCTACACTATCAGGACCTCTTTGGCTTAAGACAGATTTAACATCTTCAACACAGACTTGTAACTGGTTTAACCAAAGAAAACACCAAATTAGCTCATCTATGAACAACCAATTCACTCTCATCTCAAGACATTATCAATAAAAACTCAAAAGTGTAAATCTTTCTTTCTAAATAAGAACAATCAGTCTTGAAACTCGATTAAAGTTCCAAGCTTTATCAGTAATGCTAAACTTCAGACAGAACCAAAACCTAAACTTCAAACCCAATATCTAAAATCACAAGTGACGTCGGAGAAAGAGAGTTACTCGTTCGAAAGGAGTCACAGTTTCAGAGAGAAACGAAGAAAGCGTCGAGAGTTCGATACGAACGCCGCATACAACAACCGCAATTCCACACATATCTCCCTCTGCCGGCGTCTGCTTCTGGTCTCCGGTTCCGTCAAAGTTGTCATGAAATCGCTTAAAAGCCTGTTTAACAAGCAATAACATTCTTGTAAAATGTTTCGAGAAAATCAACAAATTGCCTCCGTAGCATAGTGGTATTGCGTTCGCTTCGTAAGCGAAAGGTCGTGAGTTCGATCCTCACCGGTGGCTTTTTAATTTTTTTTTTTTTTTTTTGGGTTTGGGCTTATTTTATTCGCATTTTTATGGGCTTTGAATTTTCTATGTTGGCTCGTTCTTAACCAAAACATTCGATTGGAAAAAACTAGAAAATAAAGCCGCATATAATTTTACATTGTTAGAAAAATAAAAAAGAATATAATATAGAAATTTGTATTCAGATTTATAATATAGAAATTTGTTTTCAGATTTATATAGTATATATATTTTTGTGTGTATTTGTATTCAGATTTATAATATAGAAATTGTATTAGTCGAATGTAATAAGAAAAAGTCGGTATTAGACTACTAGTTGAAACTTGAGATACACTTTTTGTACAAAAAGAATCACATATATGTAAAATATCCATATATCATAGCATTCTATGTCATCATGTCAAAAATCTTTCTTCTAGTAAGAAAAGCTTGTTCTGAACAAATTTTTGTCAACACAATTTTACGTAACAAACTTGTGTATCCATTTATCTGCGTAAACGCCAACTTTCCAAGAACATTTATTACACTTACATATATGGTTAAGAATTAAGAGTAAAAATTCTACAACATATAATTTTTTTTTAAAATGTGAACTTAGTAACATGACAATTAAAACTATTCTTTAGTGAATTTAATACTTTTAGTCTATCTTTAAATACGAAAAGGTGAAATTGTTTTAATTAAATAAAAGCATGATTTTTATTTGTCAAGCACAAAATAATTTTAATTCTTAACAAATTTTATAAGGTTTAACATATAGGTATTTGGCAATAAAAATAAATAAAAGTGTGCCTCTATATGTACATAGTCATATCCTTATGTGGTAAATAATGTCACAATTTTGTTTTTCTTTTTGATGAGTTTAATATTTCATTTTTTTTGCTTTAAATCGTAATATTTTTTTTTATTTACAGTTGTTTTGAAAGCAATCAATATAGTCAAGTTAAATAAAAAATATCATATGAGTGGCTCGTTGCGATAAAGGCTTATGGTTGTCTGTTTTCGATTCTTGGTGGGACTTCACAAGCTTTGGCGCAATATATTCACAAACTCAAGGTTCTCTTTTATCCATACAGAACAAAATGCATGCTTGTTATCTAAGAAAACATGTCAAACTTTTCTCATGACTCTTGTGAACAATGATTGTGACTGTGCTAATAAATAAAATAATTAGAAGAAAAAGAAAAAAAATTAAATATACTTAAAATTATAGAATATGAATTTAAATAATCAGTTGTTTTTGTTTATCTAAACCGAATCCCAATCCAATCGATCTGTTTTTTTTTCTTTACACCAAAATAATATTTTGTTTTTGTTTGTGAACAATATTCAAAAGTCCCAAATCTATAAAAATCAAAAACTATTTAGGATTTGGAAATCAGAAAAACAACTAATCAAATATGATTACGTGGCAAAATATTATTGGAAAAATATCCAAAAAGTTGCAAAAAAGCATTGAAAAAAGCCAAAACCAAATTCCCAATTCTGGTCGGAGATTTGTCTGTAAAAAAACCCTAGAAGCCATATATAAACGTCACAAGTAAACTCGTTTCTTCTCCTTCCTTCTCTCTTCTTCACTCTAATTGCGATTGATTCTCTTGTCTTGTCCAATTTATCAGGTAATTGCTTCTGCTTCATACATAATTCTCCAATCTCTCAATTCATCTTTTTGCTTCAATTGAAGTTCAATTTATCGGTTTATCATATAGATCTGTGGAAGTTCAATTTAAGCCTTACATATATATTATCTGGAGAGAAATATATTTCGTACTATAAAGTTAGATCCACAAAGTACAATTCTCAGTTATGCAAATTAACTTTTTTTGTTTCTTGATTTCAAATTTTTAATCTCTTGGATTATGCAGAGATGACACCTGAATCAAACGCTCCATCAGTAGATCCACAGTTTGTAGGCAATGGGTTTGTCCAGGAATACTATAACCACCTTTATGAATCATCCTCGGAAGTACACAAATTCTATCTCGAGGATAGTTTGATTTCACGGCCGGGTCTCGATGGTGAGATGGTTACTATAAAATCCTTGAAAGTAAGTTCCTTTAATGGCATAGTCACTTGTATAATGGAATCAAACAGTCTGTTTGGTTAGTTTTTTTAAAAAAAATTCATTCGACGAATGTTATATCGTGTTTGCAGGCGATTAATGATCAGATAATGTCCGTTGACTACAAAAGCTCGAAGATACAGATTTTGACTGCTGATTCTCAACCAACTTTAAAGAATGGTGTTGTAACTCTAGTCACGGGTTTAGTGATCGGGAAAGACGGAGGCAGAAGGAAATTTTCTCAAAGTTTCTTTCTTGTGCCGCGGAATGGAAGCTACTTTGTGCTGAATGATACCTTTAGGTACGTGTCTGATGAGTTTTTTGAACCAGAATCTACCAAGGAGGTTGAGGAGAGTCCTCAAGTGATTGAGTCAACAAAGGCTTTCACCGGTAAGTCGTTTTACCGATGGTTTATTTATCAAGAATCTGAAATTTTTTCACCATCTTGACATTGTTTTGATTTACATGGTATTGGTTTTGATCAGTAGAGCCTGCAAATGAAATTGTAGAGGCAGTTATTGTCCCTACTCAAGCTAAAACTACAGTGACAAAGCCCGCAAGTGTCATAGCAAACGGACATGCGAAAGTCCCTGAGGAGAAAGTTGTGAATGGAAACATCAACATGCCTAAAGTTGCTGAAGCAAAACTTCAAGAGGAGGCTCCCAAGAAATCCTTTGCATTAATTGTGAGTCTCCTCCTTTTTGCTTAGTTTCATAATCTATTGGGTTTTATCGTATAATAATCTATTGGGTTTTATCGTATAATAACTTCTAATCTCTTGATGTGATTTCAAACATATAGGTCCAATCTCTGGCTGAAAACGCTGGTAATTTCCAAGATAAAGCTTCACCAGCCAAGCCTAAACGCGTCGAAAAATCGATTGTTGCTCCTAAGCCCAAAGCTCCTGCTTCAATTCTTAAACAAGCTTCTGGTGAAACCGTTAAACAACCAGGTTGGTTTTTCATTGTTTAATAGTTAAGAACAATGAAATTGAAAAATATTCCTATTGCTTTTGTCTCATTTGATTATTTATTTTTTCATGTATCAGCAGCTCAGGGTAGTTCCATATTTGTTGCAAACTTGCCTATGGATGCGACTATTGAGCAACTCTATGAAACATTCAAAGGTTTTGGAGCTATTAGAAAAGATGGTATCCAAGTCAGAAGTTACCCGGTCAGTTATTCTCTCAATGTTCTACAGAAAATTCATTTGCATAGTTTCAAAAACCTTAGACCATGGTCCACTCACATGCTTAAAAATCTGTGTGACTTTCAGGAAAAAAAGAACTGTATTGGGTTTGTGGCATTCGAAAATGGTGAATCAATAAAAAATGTCTTTCAGGTATGTTTTTGTTTGCATATCAAACCCTCACCTATAATGTAATTTGAAGTTCTTGTTATCTGATCTACAAATGCACAACTCTAGGCTCACAAGGAAACACCAATCAGAATCGGAAACCGAAGAGCATCTATAGAAGAAAAGCGAGGCAAGTTTCTTAATGCATTGTTGTCTCCAAGATTATAACTTTATTAAAATGTAAAAAAGAAAAGCTTATTAACTTAATTTATTTTGGATTCTGCAGGATCTAACAATCAAAATGGCAGCAGATCCTCTGGAAGAAGCAACAGTAGTTACAGAAACGATGGATACAAACCTCGGGGAAGTGGTGTCAATGGAGGACGAGGCTATGGGAGACGGAACAATGAGTCTGATGGGGATGGTAAAGCATACCAGAACAATGGCCATGGCAATACTGAGGCCAAAAACTAGATTAGTTTTTACTTCTTCCAGACTTTGCTTATTGGTTGAGAATCTGAGGTTTTAGGCGATGTTAAAACAGATTTTAGTTTCCGTGGATATTTTAGGCGTTGATCTTTTTGATTTTTGATATTGTTTTGGGATAAATGTAGAACATTTTTCTTCACTCTTTGATTTGTATCTTCTCATGAGCAAAGGAGAAGAGAACAAAATTGAGTTGAATTAAGGTTCTAATGACCTACAGACTTTCTTTACAGGAGATAAACTCCACAGTTTTTTTTTTTGAATCAAGAACAAGAGCAGGAAGAACAACACCACGGACATTGAGGAAAACATGAGAACCACCTAAACATTGACTGCTTCTGATTTGTTGCGTCTGCTGCAGGTTTTTGTGACTCTTGCGACTGCTTTGCTTGTTTCTTCTGTTCCTCTGTTACTACCTTTCTTGAATCACTTGCAGCTCCTGCCAAACTGTAAAAGCATTAAAAAAAAAGGCAAGCAACTTTCATTAAAACCGATGCAGAGAAAAAGAAAGGAGGAAAGGTGAATCAGGCATGGTCATGGATGGAGTATGTACATTGGGAAAGAGAAGGAATGCGTGCTGTTTGAGCTTCGGTTAGAACGGTAAGAAGTTGTAGGAGTTTTCCAAGAAACAGCGGGATGTTGTTCTTTCTCATGGCTCTCTCTCTTCTCTTCCTCTTCATCAGATGAAGATGTCTGCGTTTCTTCTACTAGTACAACTTCCTCTTTCTTATCTGAATCAACAACTTTCGGTTTTTCGACGGGTTTTGGTTCTGATCCTGGTGGAGGAGGCATAGGAAGTCCAGGACTGTACGCGAGTAACTCTCCCGATTTATAGAGTTCACCTGATTTCATCAAATCACCACCGTAACCAGTGAAACTGTTGTGTCCTAAATGAATACTGAAGAGAGATTCGTTCGAAGTGCAGCTCCATTCAGCTGGTATATTCGATTTGCTTCTCTCGAAAACCGAAGATGGAATCCTATTCGGGTCATATTTTCCGTTATTATCATCTCTATCCATTACTTGAACAGGTGGTGAAGAAATCTCCGGATCATTCAATGATTCTTTAACATCTTCAGGTAGATCTTTCGGTGGCGATAAATACGAAGAAGAAGAAGACGAAGAAGATGAAGAAGACGACGATAATCTAGAATGTGATTCTGAGTTAATAATTACAGTTTCTGTTTCTTCTGAATGCATCATTTTATGCTCAACATCTCCATTTTCCCCGTCTAATGAACCTTGTTTTTTTCCATCTTCATCATGTTTTTGTTTGGATAACACATCTTCTTCATGTTTAGACTCCATAAACACCTGAAGAAGCAATCATCAATGCATCATTCAAGCCATTTCTCGGGTTATTCGAAACCGATATACATCCAGATAAAAGTACAAAAACATACCTTGAAATCGATTTGACCAGAAGAACCAGATGAGTGAAGTTGTGAAATTTCGTTTCTTTTTCTTGTTAGAGAAAACGAAGGAAGAAGAAAAATTAAGATGAGGAAAAGGGGATCTAGGGTTTGGTTCGTTGTCTGGAGATAAACAGAACGAAAGGTATCTCGTAAAGTTCGGAACTTTAACTAACAAAACCATGGCTGTGTTTCGCGCCATGTCGACGACTCTTATCTGTTCTCTTTATTAATGATCCTCTGTGTCACGGTCTATTTAAAAAACCGTCTTCTATCCAATAGATAAAGGCCTTGACTTTGAACACGTGGCTTCAGATACTAGAACAGAAAAAGGCCATTGTTCTTGTTCTTCTTCTTCTTCTTCTTCCTCTTCTTCTTCTGTTACTACTAGTTGGGGAAAGTGAAAGCTTGTAAACGAAAGGTAACGTTTTCATGGAATCTAGGGTTTATATATCCCTTTACGGTATCATTGTATTTGAAAGTTTCTTCTTTTTACTTTCGGAATCTTGGGTATGATCCTGTAGACCTAATTGATCGATGTGATTTGTATTCGATATTTTAAACGATTGATTCTTCGAATGAAGATACTGAATTTGAGAATTAGATCTTATGTAACTGTAAAATTTGTGGCTTTTCTTCATTTTAGTCTCTAAGAACTTAAACACGAAGTTATTCAATCCTAGATTGGTAACAGATTTGAGGGTTTTATCAAAGGTGGATTCTTTATCGTCGATGCAGTTTCTGGTCAAAATTTGTTGTTTTCAGGTTTGAAACTGTGGCCAAAGGCTTACTTTGACTGCTTCTGTTTCAGTGGAAACTGTTTATTTGAATGGTGGGAGGTTTGGCTCTGGTGGATTAGTAATTGTAAGCAAGAGAGGACAGAGCAAACATGGGAGAGCAACTGGATCCATTTTCCGCTTCTAATCTTCCGGATTTCATATCTTCGCAAAAAATTGGTAGACCGGTTAATTTTGAAGGACAAAATAATCGTGGGCATCCGTTTTCTGGTCTTAAGAAGAGAGGCCAATCTAGTCGTTCTTGGGTGAAAATTGATCAAGATGGGAACTCGGCGGTTTTGGAGCTCGATAAGGCGACTATAATGAAGCGTTGTTCTTTACCATCCAGGGATTTGAGACTACTTGATCCTTTGTTTATCTATCCTTCGAGTATTTTGGGGCGTGAGAGAGCGATAGTGGTCAGCCTTGAGAAGATCAGGTGTATAATCACAGCTGAAGAGGTTATTCTCATGAATGCTCGGGATGCATCTGTTGTTCAGTACCAGTCGGAACTGTGTACACGCCTTCAATCAAATCAAAACCTACATATCAAAGGTCAATGGTTTTGATATAGCTGTGGTGGCCTGAAATTATGATACTGATTAGATTGCTGACAAAACTGTTATATGTGTTGGTTTCAGATGATTTGCCGTTTGAATTTAAAGCGTTGGAGCTGGTTTTGGAATTATCTTGCTTGTCCTTAGATGCACAGGTATGCCACACTGTCTTCTCTAATGTTTTAGTTTTGGGCTTCATCATTCTTCTATATAATTTATTGCATGATAGTTCGTGTAACTATAAAATGAGCTTTAAGCTATTGTTAAGCTCAAAAGTTTTGGTGATTTTAATAGGTGAATGAGCTTGAGATGGAGGTGTATCCTGTTCTTGATGAACTAGCCACAAACATCAGTACGCTTAATCTAGAACACGTGCGCAGGCTAAAAGGCCGTCTTCTTACCTTAACACAGAAAGTTCAGAAGGTGAAACACAAAAGACTCTTCAAATTTGAAAAAGCCTGAGTTCCATAATTTGATTTTGGAGGTCAAAACTTGTAGGTTTGTGATGAAATAGAACATTTAATGGATGATGATGATGACATGGCTGAGATGTATTTGACTGAGAAAAAGGAAAGAGCTGAAGCTCATGCTTCAGAGGAGCTAGAAGATAACATTGGTGAGGACTTTGAATCTTCTGGTATAGTTTCGAAATCTGCACCGGTTTCACCTGTAGGCTCAACAAGTGGAAACTTTGGGAAGCTTCAAAGAGCCTTTAGCAGTATTGTTGGCTCACATAAAAGCTTGTTAAGCTCCTCTAGCATCGGAGAGAACATTGATCAACTAGAGATGTTACTAGAAGCTTACTTTGTCGTTGTTGATAACACTCTGAGCAAATTATCATCGGTTAGATTCTTAATCTTTCTTGTCAACTCAACTACATGTTGTTTCATCATTTTGATTATGATCTTGTGTTTGCAGCTGAAAGAGTATATAGATGATACAGAGGATCTGATCAACATTAAGCTGGTAAGGACCGACAAAATCAAGTTTTGCAATCTTGTTCTTGTTTCATCCCATAATATTCTCTGGATCTCTGACTTTTATCCATGTTTTCTTAGGGGAATGTGCAGAATCAGTTGATTCAGTTCCAACTGCTTCTCACCGCGGCAACCTTTGTGGCAGCCATTTTTGCCGCTGTAACCGCAGTCTTCGGGATGAATTTGCAAGACTCTGTTTTCCAGAATCCGACGACGTTCCAGTATGTTTTACTGATAACAGGTATTGGATGCGGATTTTTGTATTTTGGTTTTGTATTATACTTCAAGCACAAAAAAGTATTCCCTCTCTGAAAACTTATGTTAGAGAAGAAGAAGACTCATGGAGCTTCTATTGTAAAGATGAACAACTAATGTCTTTTGCTGAGCTTAGGCTTAACCTATAGTGAAACAACTGGATGTTTTTAAGATTAATGATAAGAAATAAGATTAAGAGTGATGATTAGAGAAAGAAAAGCATAGTTTAAACCCAAATGTCAAAGCGAAATACAGAAGGAAAGCACACCATCACATCTAAGCAGATCCTGGAATAAACCACTGATCTATGTGAACACCGAATCTCTTAGGCCATGTGATTTTACTTGTAACAAGATCGAAGATACCGCAACTTGAAGGACGGTTCCAATCCGGCCAAAGCTCATTCTCAACGAAACAGATTGAATCACTCTTGATTCCATCACCAACATCTTGAACTGGTGCTCTTATTGTAACACCATGACCAAATATTATCATCTCATTTTCTCCAATAGAATACACTCTTTCCCATTGGCTACTCTCAAGATTCATCTGAAAGATGTAAAACAAAAACTTCTTTTCATGAATCACTTTTTTTAAGCTCAAGATGATGAGTACCTCTCCTGAGTTTTGAATCACTATTTTCCTCTTCCAAATATATTCCAACGGTTACACAAAATATCGAACCGATACGGGTTTTTCATACCTTCTACTTTGGGGGAATCTCCAGAGAAATCAAGAATCTTTATGTCATGATCCAAAGTATACAAATAAAGATTTACTGTTCTTATAAGCCATATCGAACAAACCCACCTTTGTGTCGCAGAGATTCCAATTCATATTCTTATCATCTCCTTTCTTGTGTGAGAACAAGTAATGTTGGTTTGATATGAAAACAACAAAATAATCCTCTGTTCTCTCGTCTATCCACAAAACAGCTGATCTTTCGAATCCTACGATAGATCGATGTGTTATTGATGGAAGATTGATCCTTTTGCACGTTAACAGGTTTAAAATATAGAAATCGAGACCAGAATGTACCATCAAGAGCCAGCTACGGCCATATAATAACTAAAGTCAGAGAGTCCAGCGATTTTGTGAATCTTGTCTTCTTTGGGATCAAACAACTTCAAAGAATTACCTTGGTGTGTGATCTGCCATGGGCACAGAGGCCACTTTACGCATGTTTTCCAAACCGAATACCAATCTGAGCAAACTGTTTTTGCTCGGTGAAAATCAATAGTGCTCAAGCTTTCGAGGATTGGTCGCAAGAGATCGTGACAAAAGATTGGACCAATCTTGATTTTCAGACATTTTTCCTCTCGTCAAATCGGAATGTTTTTCCGGCTTATTCTTCTTTTACCTGCAGAACACTCTAATGGACCTAGGGTTTGGTTTTAGGGTTTAGAACCAAAAGAACCCTAATTAATGCTAGAAACGGATATATGTAGAATATATTTATTTTGAGTTTGATATTTTATCAAAATGAAAAATAAACTAATCGCTAAACGATTAATTTGGTGGAAGCCCCCTTGGCCCATTGGTTGACCTAGGGTTGATTAATGCTTCTACACCAAAAGGTCTGGGGTTCGAGTCCCAGGTATTGCGATTTATTAACAAATTTGCAGATTAATGGAGGCAAGTGTGAAAGAGATCTCCAGCGATGTACAATTATAGCCGTTCGCCAGGATTCTACGCAGAGAAGGAAGTGTCGCCAGGTTGTGGATCATTGAAGGTATTCATCAAGATTACGAAGAAGGAAGTGTAGTCTGTCGTGAATCTAGTAAGGGTCGGAAAGAATTGTCAGTTGTAAAATCGTCTATGTAACAGTTCTCATAATTTGCAATTAATAATAAATCTAGACGACAAAAAAAAAAAAACGATTAACCTGTTTTTTTTGTACCGTTTAGGCTTTTAGCATATGATGAGAACTTAAAATATTATTCTATGAGTGATTTTATTTCAAATTTTCAATGATTAGATGCGATGGTATAATATAGGCCTGCGAAATTGAACCGACCGGTTTAATCGGTTTCGGTTACTCGGTTTTTCGGTTATTTCGGAAAATGAAAGCTGTTCCGAAACTAACCGACTAAGATTTCGGTTCGGTTCGGACATGGTTATTTCGGTTTTTTGAATTCGGTTTTCCGGTTTAAAATAGTTGGGCCAAATAATTTCGTGGGCTTGTAAAAAATTGTTTTTTTGCCAACCCATACCGAAAAATGTAAAAAAAAAAGAGAGAATTTTGTATCTAAAAAAAAAAACAAAGAAGAAGATGGATTGAGGAAGAGAACCAGCGGGCTGAGATCTCAAGAGTGAAGCTCGTGGTATGATCGACGAAGCAGATGGTGATGCTGATTGAAGAAGAAGATGATGAACCAAAGAAATTGAAGTGTAGATGAAAGAAGAAGAAGATGATGATGATGAATGGTGAATCGAAGAGGCAACAAAGCAATCGGAGAAGATGAAGATGATGGTGATGATGAATCGATGAAGAAGATGATAGTGATGATGAATCAAAGAAGAATAGAAAGGATAATCGAAGAGAAGACCAAGAAAAAGAATAATCGAAGAAGAATTGGAGAAGATGGAAGAGTATAGGCGGCTGGGAATATTAGGCTAGGGTTTTTTTGGTTTCTTCGGTTAACCGTTAGGTTCGGCCGAACCGAACCAAAAATTTCGGTTAACCAAATCTAGATTGAAATCATTCCGATCGGTTTTACTCAATTAACAAGAACCGAACAGATTTGTCCAAATCTCGGTTCGGTTCGAATTCCCAGGCCTAGTATAATACTCTGCTTTTCTTCTCTGTTTATTTTTTTCTATGTCCCGATGAGTGTTACAGCAAAACGTTATGAAGAAATCACACGTGCGAGTTAACACATGCGAAGTCAAGTTGAATAAAATGGAATCTTAGATAGACGCGTGGCAGGGGACGATTGGTTGGCGCAAGAAGGCCGTTGCGTTCTATAAGAGATGTGTGTTGCTCACTTTTCCATTTATCGAATAATTGTAATCTCTTAAGTTTTCCAGAATTCTTGTAATTGCTAGGTTTCTCTCATCTTGAGAGCTAGCTTGTATCGTTTGGTGTTTTTCATGAACATCATAACGATTGTTTGGATTTTGGATTATTAATCGGAGATTGAAGTTGTTCTATTTGATTCTGTGAAATTACTGTATTAAAGGTATCAGAGCTGTGTCTTCCTCGGAAAACATGGCGATTACGAGAGCGCAGGATGGTGAACCAAAGGGAAAAGACGTTGAGGTTGGCGATCCGGTGGAATCTCGTATTTCACGATTGGAAGAGCTAGTTGCAGAGCAACACAAGGCGATGATGAAGCACATGACGGAAATGTTTGGTGCGATGAGTCGATCTACAGCTCCTAAGTTGGCGGATGATCAATCAAACTTAGATCGGAGTGCTCTGATGTCATCGCAGTCGATGTAGAACAGATCTGGTTACTCCGAGCAGTCTCACGACCATCGCCACCATCCAGGTCGATCAGATGTGCGTAATAACTATGGGAATCTTACACAGTTGGGGAAGATTGATTTTCCCAGGTTTGATGGCACACGAATCAAGGAATGGCTCTTTAAGGTGGAAGAATTTTTTGGTATTGATCGTACTCCAGAGGATCTGAAGGTAAAAATGGCTGCGATTCACCTTGATAGTCATGCTTCTACATGGCATCAATCGTTTATTCAGTCTAGTGTTGGCCTTGAAGTGTTATATGATTGGAAAGGGTATGTGAAACTTTTGAAAGAACGATTTGAGGATGAGTGTGATGATCCTATGGCAGAATTAAAAAAATTACAGGAAACTGGTGGAATCGTGGAGTATCATCAGAAGTTTGAGTTAATTAAAACAAGAGTTAACCTCTCTGAGGAGTATTTGGTGAGTATTTATTTGGCAGGATTGAGGATGGACACTCAAATGCATGTGAGAATGTTCCAACCACAAACTGTGAGGCATTGTTTCTCCTTGGGCAGGATGTATGAGAAGGCTCATCCAACTAAACTGGCCTCTTCTTCTTGGACTACTAGAACTGATAATGGGACTGGTTTTGTTAAAAATACTAAGGTGGGAATATCAAGACCAGAACAGTCTACTAAAACTTCTTTTAAGCCGGCTACTCAACAACCTAAGAGGATGTCACAGCAGGAGATGAGTGACAGGAGGGCAAAGGGACTTTGTTATTTTTGTGATGAAAAGTACACTCCAGAACATTATTTGGTTCACAAGAAAACTCAGTTGTTTTGTTTGGATGTTGATGATGAATTTGAGGATGCAGTGGAGGAATTGTTGAATGAAGAAGATCAGAATATACCACAAATTTCAGTTAATGCAGTGTCTGGTATTGCGGGCTACAGGACAATGCGTGTTAAAGGAACACATGATAAAATAATTTTGTTCATCCTTATTGATTCTGGCTCAACACACAACTTTATTGATTCTAATGTTGCAGCTAAATTGGGGTGTAAGATTGATAAGGTGGGATTAACTCGTGTTTCTGTAGCTGATGGGAGAAAACTGCGGGTTGATGGCAAAATCACTGACTTTAATTGGAAGTTGCAGACTACTTCATTCACATCTGATATTTTATTAATACAATTACAAGGAATTGATATGGTATTGGGGGTGCAATGGTTGGAGACGTTAGGTCGTATATCATGGGAGTTTAAAAAATTGGAGATGGGATTCAAGATTAATAATCAAAAGGTGTTGTTACATGGTCTGAAAGAAGGATCTGTTAGGGAAGTTAAAGCTCAGAAATTGCAGAAGTTACAAGAAAACCAGGTTCAGCTTGCTATGTTATGTGTGCAAGAATTTCAAGAAGATGAAGGACAGGAAATTTGTTCACTTAACACTTTAGCTTGTGAAGATGGTGAAGAATCTGGTGTAGAAGCAATTGTCAATGCTTTTCCGGGCATATTTGAGGAACCTACTGACTTACCTCCGTTTAGAGCACAACATGATCACAAGATCAAACTATTGGAAGGCTCTAACCCGGTAAATCAACGTCCCTATAGATATGCAGTTCATCAAAAGAACGAGATAGACAAAATTGTGGAGGATATGCTTCATGGTGGTACTATTCAAGTTAGCTCTAGTCCTTATGCATCTCCAGTGGTGTTGGTTAAAAAAAAAGATGGAACATGGAGATTATGTGTGGATTACAGGGAGTTAAATGGTATGACTGTGAAGGATAGATTCCCTATTCCTCTAATAGAAGATCTAATGGATGAATTAGGTGGTTCAAGTGTGTATTCTAAGATCGATTTGCGAGCTGGGTACCATCAAGTGCGTATGGACCCGTTGGATATACACAAGACTGCTTTCAAGACCCACAATGGTCACTATGAGTATTTAGTAATGCCTTTTGGCCTTACTAATGCTCTAGCAACTTTTCAAAGTCTCATGAACTCTGTTTTCAAAGCATTTCTGAGGAAGTTTGTGTTAGTATTTTTTGATGACATCCTTATCTATAGTTCATCATTGCAAGCACATGCTTAGCATCTTCAGAGTGTTTTTGAGTTAATGCAACAACACCAATTGTTTGCGAAAAGGAGTAAGTGTGCATTTGTTGTCAAGAAGGTGGAGTACTTGGGGCATTTCATTAGTGCAGAAGGCATAGCTACAGATCCAGCCAAGTTACAGGCAGTGAGGGAGTGGCCTATACAGCTAATCGTAAACAATTGTGTGGATTTTAGGCTTGGCTTGCTATTTTTGGCGGTTTGTTAAAAGTTTTGGTACGATTGCAGGTCCATTACACGCAGTAACCAAGACTGATGCATTTGTATGGTCTGTAGTGGCACAAAAAGCATTTGAGGAGCTTAAAGATGCTTTGTGTAATGCTCCTGTTTTGGCTTTACCAATGTTTGATAAGCAGTTTATTGTGGAGACTGATGCATGTGGGCAAGGAATTGGGGCTGTGTTGATGCAGGAAGGCCATCCTCTCGCTTATATCAGTCGTCAACTTAAAGGAAAGCAACTTCACTTGTCAATTTATGAAAAGGAACTCTTAGCAGTCATTTTTGCAGTGAGAAAGTGGAGACACTATTTGCTATCTGGTCATTTTATCATAAAAACTGATCAGAGGAGTCTTAAGTATTTACTGGAACAAAGACTGAATACTCCTATTCAACAACAGTGGCTTCCTAAGTTACTGGAGTTTGATTATGAGATTCAGTACATGCAAGGAAAGGAAAATTTGGTGGCTGATGCCTTGTCTAGAGTTGAGGGAGCAGAAGTGTTGCATATGGCTTTATCATTGGTGGAGTGTGACTTAATGAAGGAGTTTCAAGCAAGATATGCCAATGATGTTGTTGTTCAGGACATTATTACTGCTCTACAACAAAAGCCGGATTCAAAGAGACATTACTCATGGGTTCAAGGCATTTTGCGCAGAAAGAGTAAAATTGTGATACCATCAGATGGAAAATTGAAGGATACTATCTTACAATGGTTACATTGCTCTGGGGTGGGAGGTCACTCAGGATGTGATGTTACTCATCAGAAAGTTAAGGGATTGTTTTATTGGAAGGGTATGGTGAAAGATATTCAATCCTTTATCAGGAGTTGTAGTGTGTGTCAGCAGTGTAAAGGTGATAATGCAGCATATCCTGGGTTGTTACAGCCATTACCAATTCCTGAGAAAGTTTGGAGTGATGTGTCGATGGACTTTATTGATGGGTTGCATGTGTCTGCTGGAAAATCGGTGATCATGGTGGTAGTGGATCGTTTGAGTAAAGCAGCTCATTTTATTGCCTTAGCTCATCCCTACAGTGCTCTCTCTGTTGCTCAGGCTTACTTGGATAATGTGTTCAAACTCCATGGATGTCCTAATTCTATTGTCAGTGACAGGGACTCTGTTTTTACAAGTGAGTTTTGGAAAGAATTCTTTTCTCTTCAAGGAGTTACATTAAAGATGACTAGTGCCTATCATCCTCAAAGTGATGGCCAAACAAAGGTGGTGAATAGATGTTTGGAGACTTATTTGCGGTGTATGTGTCATGCTAGACCTGAATGGTGGAGTAAATGGCTCGCTTTAGCAGAGTATTGGTACAATACTAACTATCATTCTTCCAGCAGAATGACTCCTTTTGAGATTGTGTATGGTCAGCCTCCTCCTGTTCATTTACCTTATTTACCAGGAGAGTCCAAGGTTGCAGTGGTGGCTCGTTCATTGCAGGAGAGGGAACAAATGATACTTTTTCTGAAGTTTCATTTGATGAGGGCACAACATCGGATGAAGCAGTTCGTGGATCAGTACAGGACGGAGCGTAATTTTGACATTGGGGACTTTGTGTATGTCAAGCTTCAGCCTTACAGACAAAATTCAGTGGTAATGCGCAACAATCAGAAGTTAGCTCCTAAATACTATGGTCCCTATAAGATCATTGACAAATGTGGTGAAGTAGCGTACAAGTTGCAGTTACCAACATCTTCTCAAATCCATCCTGTGTTCCATGTATCGCAATTGAAGATCTTGGTAGAAATGTACCTACTGCTACTCAGTTACCTTCTGTGCTCCAAGACGTGTTTGTGAAGGAACCAGAGGTAATTCTTGAAAGGAAGATGGTTAATCGCCAGGGAAGAGCTGCGACTAAGGTGTTGGTGAAATGGTTCAATGAGCCGGTGGAAGAGGCTACATGGGAGTTTCTCTTTGATCTTCAGAAGAAATTCCCTGACTTTGTTGCTTAAAACCTTGAGGTCAAGGTTCTGTGGAGAGGGGGAGATTTGTTACAGCAAAACGTTATGAAGAAATCACACGTGCGAGTTAACACGTGCGAAGTCAAGTTGAATAAAATGGAATCTCAGATAGACGCGTGGCAGGGGACGATTGGTTGGCACAAGAAGGCCGTTGCGTTCTATAAGAGATGTGTGTTGCTCACTTTTCCATTTATCGAATAATTGTAATCTCTTAAGTTTTCCAGAATTCTTGTAATTGCTAGGTTTCTCTCATCTTGAGAGCTAGCTTGTATCGTTTGGTGTTTTTCATGAACATCATAACGATTGTTTGGATTTTGGATTATTAATCGGAGATTGAAGTTGTTCTATTCGATTCTGTGAAATTACTGTATTAATGAGGCCATCAGAACCGCGACTGCAACTATGAACATAAAAAGCATACTGATAAGAAGTATATATGTTTTTCTTGATGATCTTTTGTATTCTCCAAATAGCAGTATCCCCCAAAATGTGCTCACAAGCAGAAGTGCCTGAAACTCATCAAAACCAAAGTAAGGATATGTTTATATTCAATCTTTAAATCATTGAACAGAGAATAGGTTTCTAGTCTTAAACCTGAACAGCGCCTGCAGCTGCATAACCAGCGGCTTGACCGCCCATAAACTGAAGACCGTTACCAAATCCACAGAGAAATCCAGCCAAGAAAGACCAGCCTCGACCGTTCCAGTCATTTAGGTAAGCCATGAAAGATGATCTTGGCAGACCAAGTATAGGCCAATAGAGAAATATGATGTTTAGTATCATACCAACTCCAAATGAAGAGATTGAGAAGTAGAAGAAGGCAGTGTACACATTCAGTTTTGGAACTCCATGTTTCAAAGTGTGCCATTGATCGTTTGTCGCTAAGCTGACTGCAGGTGAGATTAGAGAGATACAGATACCGGCAAAGAATGTTATCGCCAGTCCAATTATCGTGCTTTTCCCAAAAACCTGTCAATGCAAATCTTGATTTTCAGAGAATATCAGTTATTTCTGTTAAGGAAAAGGCTAAGTGTGTCCTAACCTTTATGGCTCTTTGTTTCTCAAGCTCAATAAGAAAATCTGCAGTCCCTACTTTTGCTTTTCCTTCGTTTGTAGGACTTGTCTCCATTTTGAAGGAAGAAGCAGTCTCTAAACTGAAACAAGATCAAGATTAGGTTAAAACAAAACCAAAATAAATCAAAACAAAGAACTAGTAGTGAATTTTTTTTAACCTTTTGAAATCTTGGAGTTTAGATTTGTTATCAGCTGCATTTGATTTATGAACAGCTGAACCGAAGAAAACAGCGATCAAGAAACAAGCGACCCCCGGAAAAAGGACCTCAGCTCTATTAATTCTATCATCCAAGAAATAGTTCAAAGTTGTGCCTGTGCTAGAAAACAAAAAGTTCAGAAGAACAAGATAGAAACAGAGAAAAAAATCAAAAAAAGATAGTTAATGAAAGAAGAATTTACCGATAACAACCGCGATACTAGCTGTGATGACTTCAGTGACTGATAAACCAACAAAAGCCCAAGCATATTGTGTTGCTAAGGTCCCAAGGCTAAGAAAATTTCCCCAGCCATTGCAAACATCACAGATGGCCAATTATCCTTTGATAAAAAATCACCGCATTTCAAAAACCGCCAATATATAGCTGCAAGAATTTGAAAGAGATATATGAAATGTATTTTTAACTAACTTGAGAAAGCTGTGTGATGAAATTTGGTCTGCTTGGACTTATCTCGCCTAGTGTAAACGCTATGATTACAGCAGCTAACAGGTTTGTGAGTGTGTAGTCAAGATAAGTGTGTTGAGGAAGTCGACCCCGTCTTTCGGTTAGAGTCATGATTGCTGGGCATGTCCCCAAGAAGAGCAGAGCGAAGAGAATACAAGTGATTGCTCCTCCTTTGCTCTCTATCACATACATTTTATAAAATCACCAAAAACCACTGCATCAAAGTAAAGAAGTGAGATTCTACGGTTATCTAATCATTGATGTCTCTTGATAAAGATGAAGCTAGTTGTGCTCAAGAAAGGTTATTTAGAACATAACACAAGACACATATGAGAAGATCTACATGAAACTCAAACCTCAGATTCCACTAAATTTCACTACTGACTAGTGGGTTGCTTGAAAGAGATTACCTTATTAAAGCTTTTGTCTTAACTTTAACTTTGATTAAGACCAGAGAACAGAGACAGAACAAGGAAAAAAATAACTTAGTTTCTCATTTGATTGGTAGATCCAGATTCAGGAAGAACCCAGCTTCCCAGTTTCTATAAAATAAATAATTCTCAAGTTGCCATAAACTATAGTTTTCTTTCTCTGATGTGTAAACAAAGACAATACAACCAATTGTTGTTAGCAAAGCCGTGAGACTGAAACCAACAAAGAAAAACACTTTGGTTAAAATATAAACAAAGACTTGAACATGTTGCAGTCATTAGTGAAGTAATTCTTCCTTCAGTGATCCTTTTAGCAGTTTAACTTGTAGACGTTTCTATGAATTTCATTTTCAAGTCATTTTCTATGTCCCGAGGAGGCCATAAGAACCGCGACAGCGACTATGAACATAAGAAGCATACTGATGAGAAATGTATATGTTTTTCTTGATGATCTTCTGTATTCTCCAAACAACAATATCCCCCAAAATGTACTCACAAGTGGAAGTGCCTGAAACACATTCAAATCAAAATTAGTAAAAAATATGTCACTCTTAATTCATGGAACAGAGAATATGTTTATTGTCTAAACCTGAACAGCGTCTGCAGCTGCATAGCCTGCGGCTTGGCCGCCCATGAACTGAAGACCATTCCCAAACCCACATAAAAATCCAGCCAAGAAAGACCATCCTCGACCGTTCCAGTCATTTAGATAATCCTTGAAAGAAGATCTTGGGAGACCAAGTATAGGCCAATAGAGAAATCTGATGTTAAGTATCAGAGCAACCACAAACGCAGAGATGGAGAAGTAGAAGAAGGCGGTGTACACATTGAGTTTTGGAACTCCATGTTCCAAAGTGTGCCATTGATCGTTTGTCGCTAAGTTAAATGCAGGTGAGAACAGAGAAAAGCAAATACCGGCAAAGAAAGTTATCGCCAATCCGATTATTGTGCTTTTCCCAAAGACCTGTAGTCAATGCCAATCTTGAATATTCAGAGAATATATATGCATATAAGTTATTTCTGTTAAGGTAAAGGAAGAGTATGTTTCAACCTTTATAGCTCTTTGTTTCTCAAGCTCTATGAGAAACGCCGCAGTCCCTTCTTTCGCTTTCCCTTTCGCTAACCCGTTATTTGCAGAAACTGTTTCCATTTCAAAGGAAGACGCAGTCTCTAAACTGAAACAAGATCAAGATTAGTACCAAACCAAACCGAAACAAATATAAATATCTAGTTGTGAATCGTTTTCAAACCTTTTGAAATCTTGGAATTTGGATTTGTTATCAGCTGCATTTGATTTATGAACAGCAGAGCCGAAGCAAACAGCGATCAAGAAACAAGCGACGCCCGGGAAAAGGACCTCAGCTCTGTTGATTCTATCATCCAAGAAATAGTTCAAAGTTGTGCCTGTGCTTAGTAAACAAAAAAGTTCATAAGAACAAGAGAAGAAACAGAGGAAACAATCAGTTAAAAGTAGTTGAAGAGAAGAGTTCACCGATAACAACGGTGATACTAGCTGCGATGACTTCAGTAACTGATAAACCAACATAAGCCCAAGCATATTGTGTTGCTAAGTTTCCAAGGCTAAGAACAATTCCTCCAGCCATTGCAAACATAACTGACTGCCAATTATCCTATGATAAAAAACAGCGTTTCAACAATATTCTTCGACAAGATTTTCTAAAGAGAAGTATGAATATATGACTGACTTGAGAAAGCTGAGTAAAGAAATTTGGTCTGCTTGGACCTATTTCGCCTAGTGTCAACGCAATGATCACTGCAGCTAACAGATTTGTGAGTGTATAGTCAAGATAAGTGTGTTGAGGAAGTCGACCACGTCTTTCGGTTAATGTCATGATTGCTGGCCATGTCCCTAAGAAGAGCAGAGCCAAGAGCATACAGGCAATTGCCCCTCCCTTGCTCTCAATCATATACATCTCTCTATCTCTCTTATAAAATCATGAAAAACAGCTGCAAGAAAGAAGAAAAAGGAAGATTGTTATATGATTTTCGTTCTTTCAAGCTAAAAATGAACCTACTTGACTTTAAGCCTCAAAGAAAGTTCTAAGAACATAACACAACACACATGCTCTAATACAAGAAGATCTACAAGAAACTCAAACCTATATTACACTAATTTTCATTCCTTTCCTCAATCTAAACACCCAAATTATAGGCTCAAATTGAGGGTAGTAGTTCTGTCAAAAATCTATAAAGATCTCAAGAAAACAGAGTAATCATCTTAGACAACCACAAAGGCAAGGCAAGAGTCAAAATCTTTGAGGTTTCTAGAGAAGCAATCAAGAAGAGAGACTAAAAAGTAAACATCTTTGACTAATAATGAATTTCTTGAAAGAGATTATTATTACCTTTTGGAAGCTTCTGTTCTAACTCTAACGAAGAACAGACAATCAAGAACAGAGACAGAACAACTTTTGATTCTTCCCTTTGGGGAGATTCAGAATAATTGCTAGTCGCTCTCATATTATTGGCAGATTCGGATTCCATGAGATATGACACCTTCCTAGATATCTTTTTCAAGATAATTTTTTAGTATAATATAAATCTCGAGTTGCGTTCCGATTAGATTCCTAGTTGATCATAAGTCAACGGCTGACACAAACTTGTCTTTATTTGATCTTTTAATCGGAGTTGTTACCCTTTGTAATTGTGCTAAACTCATTATAAAAAAATTCAAAACAAAAAGAAGAGCACCCGCAATGGAGTGTGAGGTGAGAACGGTTCTGTTTATGATGCATCCGGAAAAGGCACCAGGACCTGATGGTATGACAGCCTTATTTTTCCAAAAGGCTTGGGTTACTATTAAAACAGACCTTCTTTCTCTGGTCAATTCCTTTTTAGAGGATGAAAATTTTGATAAACGGTTAAATACGACTAATATTTGCCTTATTCCAAAAACGGAAAGACCGACACGGATGACGGAATTTCGGCCTATCAGTCTTTGCAATGTTGGGTATAAAATTATATCGAAGATCCTTTGCCAAAGACTAAAGACGGTGCTACCAAAACTGATTTCGGAAACACAATCAGCTTTTGTAGAAGGACGATTGATTTCAGATAATATTCTCATTGCACAAGAGATGTTCCATGGGTTGAGAACTAACCCGTCCTGTAAAGGCAAATTCATGGCCATTAAAACGGATATGAGCAAGGCTTATGATAAAGTGAAATGGACTTTCATAGAGAAGATCTTAAGAAAATTGGGTTTCTGTGAAAAATGGATTAAATGGATAATGTGGTGTATTACAACAGTCCAATATAGAGTTCTCCTTAATGGACAACCTAGAGGACTAATAATACCAGAGAGGGGTTTACGACAAGGAGACCCGCTCTCACCTTATTTATTCATCCTTTGCACAGAAGTGCTCATTGCGAATATTCGGAAAGCTGAACGGGAAAAATTAATTACGGGTATCAAAGTAGCAAATGCAAGCCCTTCGGTTTCACATCTGTTATTTGCGGATGATAGTTTATTTTTTTGCAAGGCTAACAAGGACCAGTGTGGGGTAATTTTGGGGATTTTAAAGAAGTATGAAGCGGTCTCGGGACATCAGATTAATTTTTTGAAATCCTCGATTCAGTTTGGACATAAGGTAGATAATGATATCAAGGAAGAAATCCAATCTACCTTAGGTATCACTAATATCGGAGGTATGGGTTCTTATCTTGGATTGCCGGAGAGTTTAGGGGGTTCCAAGACAAAAATCTTCTCTTTTGTCAGAGATAGACTACAAACAAGGATTAACGGATGGTCAGCTAAATTTTTATCAAAAAGGGGAAAAGAAGTGATGATTAAATCGGTAGCTGCAGCATTACCAACTTATGTTATGTCGTGCTTCAGACTTCCAAAAACTATCACTTCTAAACTTACTAGCGCGGTTGCTAATTTTTGGTGGAGTTCAAATGGTGATTCTAGAGGTATGCACTAGATGGCTTGGAATAAATTGTGCAATAGCAAATCGGAAGGGGGATTAGGATTTCGGAACGTTGACGATTTTAATTCAGCTTTACTAGCAAAACAATTATGGCGGTTGATCACGGTTCCAGATTCTCTTTTCGCAAAGGTGTTTAAAGGACGGTATTTTAGGAAATCCAATCCTTTGGAAAATATAAAATCATATTCTCCATCATATGGATGGCGGAGTATATGGTCAGCTAGATCTCTGGTTAATAAAGGACTTATTAAAAGAGTCGGATCTGGGACATCCATCTTAGTTTGGGAGGATCCCTGGATTCCAGCTCAATTCCCGAGACCAGCAAAAAGTAATGGTTCAGTTGTTGACCCATCTTTAAAAGTTAACGACCTTATAGATAGTCGGTTGAACTTTTGGAATATTGATCTCTTAAAAGCGATCTTTGATACAGAGGATGTCGCGCTAATAAGCGCCATACCTGTGGGTGCGCCAACAAAAGAGGATTCTTTTGGTTGGCATTTTACAAAATCCGGAAAATATACAGTCAAATCGGGATATCATACCACACGGATGGAAAAGTCGGAGACCAATTTACCCTTTTTTGGCCCTGACATCAACCCGCTAAAAGCACATTCTTGGCAAGTGCATTGTCCACCTAAGATACGCCATTTCTTGTGGGAAATCTTAACGGGTTGTATACCGGTTACAGAAAATTTGCGAAAAAGAGAAATTGATTGTGACACGGGATGTGCCAGATGTGGCGCATCAGAGGAAACAATTAATCATACACTCTTTCAGTGCCACCCTGCACGGCAGATTTGGGCGCTTTCACAAATTCCTACGGCTATGGGAATTTTTCCCACGGAATCTAATTTTGCGAATTTAGATCACTTATTTTGGAGAATACCTTCAGAATTTGATTCATCAGCTTTTCCATGGATTATTTGGTATATTTGGAAAGCAAGGAACGAAAAGATCTTTGAAAATATAGATAAAGACCCTATAGAGGTATTACGATTAGCGGAAAAAGAGGCACAATTATGGCAAACAGCTCAAATTGAGTTCCATAATGAAAGTCATGGTTCTGTGGACTTGGTAAATCAAACTCGAGTGAGGGATACTTCACTTGAGTCGAATTATTCTGGATACCGTTGTTTTGTGGATGGATCATGGAAAGGAAGTGATAAGTTCTCCGGTACAGGATGGTTCTGTACATCGTCAAATGGAGAGCCGCCAACCATGGGAGCTGCGAACCTCCGTAAAAGTCTATCTCCACTACATGCCGAAGTCGAGGCCCTTCTCTGGGCGATGAAGTGTATGATTGGTGCAGATAATCAAGAGGTAGCGTTCTTTACAGACTGTTCAGACCTGGTGAAGATGGTGTCTTCTCCAACCGAATGGCCAGCGTTTTCAGTGTATTTGGAGGAATTTCAGAGCGACAAGGAGGAGTTTTCATCTTTTTCTTTATCTTTAATTTCTCGTAGGGCTAATGTCAAAGCGGATAAACTGGCACGAAAAGTTCGTACAGAACCGCTTCATATCACATATGTAAACAATATTCCTCAGGAATGGCTCTTTTGAGCTCGAATTAATTTCGGATGACAAAAAAAAAAAAAAAAGAAGAAGAAAAAACTATGCAACAAAAAAAGAAAACTACTTATAAAAACCATCGAGTTTTCCTGTAATTAACATCGAGAGGACAATACCATGTCATGTTTTTTTTTTTTTTTTTTTTTTTTTTTTAGAAAACAACTTATATTAATATACCCAACTACCCAAATGGGCTTGGGCCAAGGCCTACACAGAAAATCGAAACAGTTACAAAAATGGTTAAACGGAAAACTCGCCGGAAAAATCAAAAAGGCTCGAATCCTGTTGATCATCTGCCGTAGAGAGACCGGAACCTTAGATCCGGCGAAATCAAGACCACAGCTTCGTGGAAGCCTCAAAGGAGCTAGAACACAGCCGAGAGATTTCGGTTCCCGACCACACTCGCCTTCCTCCGACGCACCAAGCCCGACACAGATCTCCTAGAAAGCTAGCCCCTCCGACAGCAGGTTCGACGACGACGAATCCTGACCTAGCAACCCGACGTACCTGGATTTATCCCCAATTTTCTCAAACCAAACCTTTTCGATTAACCAGAGCCAATAAACTTCAATCCGGGCTTCTGGATGCCAGAAGCGGCAGATCCAGAAGATGGTGGCTCAACAAAACCTCTGAACCCAGAACCCGCACCAGCCATCTAAGCTCCGAGCCACCGGAACTACCGTTAACCACCTCGCCAAACAACGCAACCCACCAGACCCCATCAACTTCCGCCGTGGTCGCAGCGAACGGAGCAGCGGCTGAGCCTGAGGAACTTTGAAGCAACCACAGCGTCCTTTAAACCGTGACCCACCGCTGCAAAATTCCTCCTCCGTCAAACCGAAGCCACAGCCACATCGATGAGGAGACACCACACCACCGCTGACGGAGAAGCTTATTGACTCACTCCTGACCGACCTCTGAGAGTCCTTGACCGGCGATGAAGAACATATCTAACAAGAGAAACTGGATCTGAAACTCGTCTGCAAGAGAGAGAGAATGGCACGATTACCAAAGCAACGATTGTGCCTTTGGATTTTCAAATAATACCATGTCATGTTACTTGTGGCAAGATCGAAGACACCGCAATTTGAACACATATAATATGGCGAAACGTCATCTTTAACGAAACAGATTGAACCAGTCTTGATTCCATCACCAACATCTTGAACCGGTGCTCTTATTGTAACACCATGACCAAAGATCAGCATCTCATTATTTCCGATAGAATGCACTCTTTCCCATTTGCCACTCTCAAGATTCATCTTAAAGACGTAAAACAAATGTACCCCTTCTTTTGTTTAACTCAAGATGACCAAAACCTCTCCTGATTTCTGAATGGCTATTCTCCTCTTCCAAATATATTCCCCTTGCGAAATGTGGTAGTGAAACGGATGATCCCAATACGGGTTTTTTTTTTATTTCTTCTTTAGGGGAATCTCCAGAGAAATCAATAATCTTGATGGAATCGTGGTAAGTATACAGATAAAGCTTGTTGTGCTTATAAGCCAAATCCAAAAGAAACGTATCCCAATTATTATTCCAGTTCCACCAAGAATCATCTCCTTTCTTGTGTGTGAACATATATTGGTTCTTGAAAATCCAAGCAACGAAATAATCCCCTGCCCTCTCGTTTATCCAAAGAACAACTGATCTTTTGTACCCCAAGATGTCTTTCGACACGGGAGTCTTACAAAAATGATCGACCAAGTGTCCCCACTTGCCTTGTCTACAGTCGCTGCTTGGCTCGAATCTTACTTTTCCACCGCGAATTGACGACTCCATTGAGGGAAGATTGATCTTTTCGCACGTTAACAGGTTAAAAATATAGAAATCGAGACGAGAATGTACCATCAAGAGCCAGTTTCCGGAGCTAGCCATATAATAGCTATTGTCAGAAAGTCCGAGGAGTTTTGTTTCGTAAATCTTGTTTTCTCTGGGATCGAACAAACTCGAAGAATCATCATCATAGTATATGATCCGCCATGGATACAGAGGCCGCTTCACGCATGTTTTCCAAACCGAATACCAATCTGAGCAAACGAGTTTTGCTCGGTGGTAGTCAATAGAGTTCAAGCTTTCGATAATCTTTCGCAAAAGGTCAGGACAAAGCTTGGACCAATCAGACACTTCTCGTCCGTTATTTTCTATCATCGAATCGTTACGCGCATCCATGTTGATGATCTTTGGCAAAAGATCGGGACAAAGTGTGGACCAACCGTGATTATCAGAGACTTTTGGGCTTTTCTCTTCTCTGATCGATGTCTGCGCTTACTTGCCGAATTCGCTAAAGGAACTAGGGTTTCGTTTTATTCTTATCATAACAATCGAAGAGAACGTTTCTATACATAATTGTCAGTTATAATGTCTTTTCATCATAATTTTTGTATAGTACATTTTCACTTATATACATAACCTTCTGTTACATGATGTATCTTTTGAACAGAAAAAACAAGGATGAAATTTCTATTATTTTCACACTATATTATTACACATTGGTGAAAATTTAAGATGTTTATGCTAAGGCACGACTCGATAAAAAAAGTCAAGCGGTGGGAAATAGCTTCTCGACCCAAGAACAGAGACAGAACAAGAAAGAACCAACTTTGGTTAATAGCTTCCCATTAGAGACAAACCCTTCATCAAATTTTTTTTTTCAATATAATTGTGTGTAAAATAAAAGAATCTCGAGTTGCGTTCAGATTAGATTCCTACCACATTCATAAGTTAATAAATCAATGGCTGACAATGACATAATCTTGTCTCTGAACCTTCTGAAATATTTCACTACAAATCCATGCTTATATTAAATAAAAAATCACAACAAAAAGAAGAGAAGGACAGCAACAAACAAAAAGTACTTGAATCAAAATTGAAGAAAAACTAGTTAAACAAAAGACTAAGCATATCCTGGAACAAACCATTGAGTTTTAACACCGACTCTATTAGGCCATGTGATCTCACTTGTGGCAAGATCGAAGACACCGCAATTTGAAGCACAATTATATCATGTACCAACGTCATCTTTAACGAAACAGATTGAACCAGTCTTGATTCCATCACCAACATCTTGAACCGGTGCTCTTATTGTAACCCCATGACCAAATATTATCATCTCATCATCTCCAATAGAATGCTCTCTTTCCCATTTGCCACTCTCAAGATTCATCTTAAAGATGTAAAACAAAAGTGCTCTTTCATCAAGTAGTAGGTCTAATAAACTCACGATGATCAAAACCTCTCCTGATTTCTGAATGGCTATTCTCCTCCTCGAAATAAGTTCCAATCCATGCGGAGCATAGTTAAAAGGATGATCCAGATACGGGTTATTTTCGATTTCTTCCTTAGGGAAATCTCCAGAGAAATTGATAATCTTGATGTGACCATCGGTAGTATAGAGATAAAGCTTGCTGTTTTCATAAGCCAAATCCAAATAACCCAAATTTACGCGTCCTTGACCGAATTTCCAGTTATTATTCCAGTTCCACCATGATTCATCTCCTTTCTTGTATGTGAACAAGTAATGCTGTTTAAAAATCCAAGCAACCACATAATCACCCGTCTTCTCGTTTATCCACAGAACAGCTGATCTTTGGCTTCCGTAAATGAGTTTCGATACGTGGTCCTTACGACAAGGCTTGGCCGACTGTCCACACTTGCCGTATTCGACAAAGTGTCCCCATTCGCCATATTCCGGAGCATTACTTCGCTTGAATCTCACTGTGTGTCCATCATGACTTGACGACTTCCTCGATGAAATATTGATCCTTTTGTGAATTGGCGTCTCCATCGATGGAAGATCGATCCTTTGACATGTTATCAGGTTAAAGATATAGAAATCTAGACGAGAATCTACCATCAAGAGCCAATTTCCAAAACTAGCCATATAATAGCTGTCGTCGGAGAGTCCGAGGAGTTTCCTTGTCTTCTTGTCTTCTCTAGGATCAAACAACATCAAAGAAACATCATCGTATAAGATCCGCCATGGATACAATGTCTTTTTTACGCATGTTTTCCAAACCGTATACCAATCTGAGCAAACGATTTGTGCTCTGTAAAAATCAACAAAACTCAATCTTTCAATGATGTTTTGCAAAAGATCGGGACAAAGTTTAGACCAATCGTGATTTTCAGACACTTTTTGTCCCTTCTCTTCTCTCATCAAATCGTTCGGCGTATCCATTGATGCTTACCTGCCGAGAACTCTATTGAATCATCTAGGGTTTCGTTTTAGGGTTTATAACCAAAGAAATCTAAATTAATGCGATACTAAGATTGGGCTTAATTGGGCTTTATATTAATTATTTACGCTTTATGTCATATTATCGTGTTTGTTTTGTTTCCTTTGTAATTTTTTAACCAGTGGTTCCATTAAGCTACGATCGGTTTATTCAGATCGGTTCATTCGGGTCCAAATTACGTATTTCAATATATGTTTTTCATAAGTTTATTCAATATATTTTTTTAATAAGTTTATTTTAAACTATTTCGGTTTAATAAGTAAACATCTTTGGTTTGACTAGTGGTTTTCTTGAAAGAGATCCCTATTAAGAAAGAACAAACTTTGCTTAATAGCTTCCCATTTGATGGGGAGATTCACAAAAATTGCTTGTGACTGTCATACTATTTCAATATTTCACTACAGATTTGTGCTAATAATTTCAAAACAAAAAAAAAGAAGAAAAAAGCATGCAACAAAAAAAAATAACTTGATCAAAATTAAAGAAAACTATTTAACACCACTGAGTTTTCGAGGAGTAAACATCGGGTGAACTATGCCATGTGATGTTACTTGTGGCAAGATCGAAGACACTGCATTCTGAATAAAACATATATGATGGCCAAACTATTGGGCTTATCTAAGTCCATTCCAACTCCTCCATTAGTATCATATTGTCTGCTTTGGGCCTACATACTCAAGCCCGCACGGATTTGTTATTGGGCTCCTTCCCAAAAGGTCTCATACTAATTGGAGTTGGACTTTACTTATATATTAGAAACTTCTTTTCTAAACTTCCGATGTGGGACGTTGGTTTGTACCCAACAGAAACGTCATCTTTAACGAAACATATGCAACCATTCTTGATTCCACCAACATCTGGAACCGGTGCCCTTATAGTAACCCCATGACCAAAGATCAACATTTCATCATCTCCAATAGAATATACTCTTTCCCACTCTTTACTCTCGAGATTTATCTTAAAGATGTAAAACAAAACTCTCTTTTCACTTATTAAACTCAAGATGGCCAAAACCTCTCCTGAATTCTGTATCACTATTCTCCTCTTGGAATCCCATCTCCAAATGTGGTAGTGAAACCGATGATCTCGATACGGGTTATTTTTTTATATCTTCTTTGGGGGAATCTCCAGAGAAATCAATAATCTTGATGCATTCACTGTAAGTATACAGATAAAGCTTGCCGTTCTTATAAGCTAAATCCCGAAACAAAGATTTTGTTCCATACTTATTATTCCAGTTCCACCACGAATCATCTCCTTTCTTGACTGTTGGCGGGTTTCTTTGTATGTGTTGTCCGGAAACGAAATCATGGTTGTTCAAAATCCATGCAACGAAATAATCCCCTGTCCTTTCGTCTATCCAAAGAACAGCTGATCTTTTGCATCCGAAGGTGTCTTTCGACACGTAAATCCTACGAAAATGATCGACGAAGTGTCCCCAATTGTAGAGTCTATAGTCACCGCTTGGCTCGAATCTCACTTTTCCACCGCGAATGGAATACTTCATTGATGGAAGACTGTTCTTTTTGCCTGTGAATAGGTTAAAAATATAGAAATCATGACAAGAATATACCATCAAGAACCAATTTCCTGAGCTAGCCACATAATGGCTATTGTCAGAGAGTCCGAAGAGGCTTTTTTTTGTAAATCTTTCTTTCTCTGGGATCCAAAAAACTCCAACAACCATCATCTCGGTACCCGGTATATGATCCGCCATGGATACTGAGGTGGCTTCACGCATGTTTGCCAAACGATATACCAATCTGAGCAAACAAATTTGCTCGGTGAAAATCAATAGAGATCAAGTTTTCGAGGATGTTTCGCATTAGATCGGGACAAAGCTTGGACCAGTCGTGATTATCAGACACTTTTGGACAATTTTAGTAAACGATTTTTGTTCGACAAAAATCAATGAAGTTCAAGCTTTTGATGATCTTTCGCCAAAAGGTCAGCACAAAGCTTGGACCAATTGTTATTTTCTCTCATCAAATCGTTACGCTCATCCATGTCTGCGCTTACCTGCCGAGCACGCTAATGGAAATAGGGTTTCGTTTTCAGGTTTTGTAGAACCAATACAGAGCCGGTCACGATGTTATTGGTCAATTTGTTAATTTGTTATACAATTATATATAGTGGCTCCTTAAGATAAAATAATTACACATAAAATATACAATCCCCTAAAACCATTAAATACCTGATTTTGTGTCGTCCGCTTGCTTATAAGTTTTTATCAATGTTTTGAGATCATCAACTCGACATTAGATGGCTGGTCGGTCGGACCAGTCTAACCGGTTGAGAATTTTTAACGTTTCTTAAAATTTTATTAACTAAAATTACATATAAACTTGAGAAAAAATAAAAGTGACAACAAAGAAATTAGAAAAGATAAGCTAGAGTTAAAATAAAAAAGTATATAAAAACCTGAATTACTCAAAGTTAGTGACTTCAGTTTTGTGAACCAGGTTCCAGTCGGTCGGTCCAATTTTTAAAACATTGCGTAAAAACTCTTCGAAACCGAAAAGTTTGACGAAGATGAATAATAAAGTTGACTCAATTTGCTTAGATGAGTAATTTCCATATAGTACGTAGTATACATTCCACTGAGCATTGGGTTAATAGGGTTATAATTTGAACCAATAGATTAAAAGAAAATATTAAATATTGGATATATTAGACCAAAAAAAAAAAGCTACAAAATTGGTAAAGTTTCAGGGAAGGGAAAGAGTAGGGGTGAGACCAATTATCCGGGATCCGGGATCCGATCCGGGATCCGGGATCCGATCCGGGATCCGCTCCGATCCGCTCCGAAAAATAGGATATCCGGGTGGGGCGGATCCGGATCCGGATAATGAAAAAGCGGATCCGGCCGGATCCGGATCCGGATCCGGATAATAGAAAATTTAAAGCCGGATATCCGGATCCGGGATATTTTATATAATAATAATATTTTTTTAATATTTTATTACTATTATTTAAATTTTATTAATAAATTCTATTATTTTATATAAGAATAATATTTTTTAATAATATTTTTAATTATTTATATTAAATTATTTGTTTTTAAATATTTTTTCTTGAAATTTTATATTAATAAAAAAATTATATAAAAAAAACCCGGATCTGGATATCCGGCGGATATCCGGCTCTTTTTACGGATATCCGAAATCCGGATATCCGGGTGGAACGGATCCGGATCCGGATAATGAAAAGGCGGATCCGGCCGGATCCGGATCCGGATCCGGATACCCAAAAAAAACCGGATATCCGGATCCGGCCCAGCCCTAGGAAAGAGTGATAAACTTGGAAAATAAGGAACAACTATAAGCCATATAATCCAGAAAAATACAAATGATAAATAGTTGAGTCAGGATCAAGATACAAGTTTGGCTTAAGAGGATGACCTTATTGTGTGAGAGGCTGCAAAGTGATACCGCCAAACCAAGTTAACGTAGAATGCAAGCCAATGGATAAGATCCTCTCCCTTGTGTTGTCTTTAACCATCCACCAAAAAAACTCGTGCTTACAATCTCCTTCAACTCAGAAATGCAGAGACGACCATGGCCATTGCAGATACCAATCTTGTCACCAGGGGCATCACTGTAGGAGAAGAGAGAATTAAATTATTTTGCATAAGCTCGGTTCATTGTTTTTCTTCTTGATCAAGAATCAGTACAGAGTAAGTCTAAGTACTAGTAAGGGTACTAGGCGTGTCACTCGTACGTTTTTGTTGTAAACACCATCTAAAACTAATGGATTGCGAGCTAAGCCTCGGCGAGACATATCGTCTATGGGTCATGAACTCATTAAATTGCCCTGTGTTCTTTTAATTTCTTTCAGCAAGATTTCATCTTTCTCTTTTATAACTATGTTTGGTTTGTTTCATTACTCTGTTTCGTATAAAGCAACTTTCTTGGTTATTATGGTTCAGAACAGAGTCGACTCCTATAAGTTCTTAAACCTTAACAATTTGTATGTCAACTGCTGCCATAAACTTGTCTTTATCCTTATCAGCCTTTAATTTTGTATATTTCGTGTTGTATAGTTCTGGTTGGATTATTAGTTCTTAAATTATCTCAATAGCTGACATAATATTCTCCTTGGAGTTGTTACCCTTTGAATATTCCAGTACAAATCATGCTAAATTAAATTATTAATAAAAAAGAAAAAAACAAACAAACCACAAAATTAATTGATCAAAGCTGAAGAAAACTAATGACTTCAAAAGACTAAGCAAATCCTGGAGCAAACCAATGACTTTTATCCATAAGGCAATGAAATTGCTTAGGCCATTTAATTCTACTTGTGGCAATATCAAAGATACCGCAATCTGAATAACAACGATAGTCTGCCCGAAGACCACTATCGTCGACGAAAAAGATAGAACCACTCTTGATTCCGTCACCAACATCTTGAACCGGTGCTCTTATTGTAACCCCATGACCAAAGATCAACATCTCATCATCTCCAATAGATTGCACTCTTTCCCATTTGCCACTCTCAAGATTCATCTTAAAGATGTAAAACAAAAGTTTGCTTTCACCAATTAGTACTAAATTCAAGATGATCAAAACCTCTCCTGATTTCTGAATGGCTATTCTCCTCTTCGAAGTAACTTCACATCCACGCGGAGCATAGTTAAAAGGATGATCCAGATACGGGTTATTTTCGATTTCTTCCTTAGGGAAATCTCCAGAGAAATCGATAATCTTGATGTGGTTATCGGTGGTGTAGAGATAAAGCTTACTGTTCTTATAAGCCACATCCAAATAACCCAAATTTTTCGCACCGGTAATCCAATCCTTATTCCAATTCCACCACGAATCATCTCCTTTCTTGTATGTGAACAAGTAATGCCGTTTCAAAATCCAAGCAACGACATAATCCCCTGTTCTCTCGTTTATCCACAGAACAACTCCTGATCTTTTGCAGTGCAAGATGTCTTTCGACACATTATCCTTACGACAAGGCTCGACAAAGTGTCCCCACGTGTATCTTGACTCACCGCTTCGCTCAAATCGTACTTGTGCACCACGAATTGGAGACTCTATTGATGGTAGATTGATCTTTTTTCACGTTAACAAGTTAAAAATATAGAAATCGAGACGAGAATCTACCATCAATAGCCAATTTCCGGAGTTAGCCATATAATAGCTATTGTCAGAGAGTCCAACGTATTGTGGCGTGTAAATCTCGTCTTCACCGGGATCGTAAAACTTATAAGAATCATATTGGCATACGATCCTCCATGGACATAGACGTCGCTTTACACATGTTTTCCAAACGCCATACCAATCTGAGCAAACAATTTTTGCTCTGTAATAATCAATAGAGCTCAAGCTTTCGATGATCTTTCGCAAAAGATCGGGACAAAGATTGGACCAATCGTGATTTTCAGAGACTTTTTGGCTCTCCTCTTCTCTCATGTCTACCTGCGTAGCCCTCTAGGATCTAGGGTTTGGTTTTATGATTTAGAACCAAAGAAAACCTAATTATATTGCAACTTCAAAACTTTAATACTCCTATCTTATTATATAAAAATTCAAAGTTAGTAATTCCATATGATAGTGACACCTGTATGTGTATCGATCAAATTTTAACACGTAAAAAAAAAATTATATAGTAAATTACAAATCCTAAAAGATTTTAACTTTTTTCCAAAAGGTACATAAAATATATAAATAAAAAGGAAATTATACAACAAATTACAAATCTTAAAAGTAAAAGTATTACATTTACTTCTTCTTTTTTGGAAAGGTATATAAGAAATAATATAGTAATTTATAATTCCTAAAATTAAAAGGATTACAATAATTTTTTGGTATAACCAATAATAAGATATGATATGTCTCAGTACATAAATCCTAAATATAAGAACCGAGAGTTTGACGGCAGATGTATAATAAGTTGACTAAATTTGCCAATCTTTGGAATTTTCTCGATGCTGCTCTTATATATACAGGTATACATTCCACTGAGCATTGGGTTAATTTGAACCTATGGATTAAAAGAAAACATATGAAAAGTGTCTTTCTTGATAGGTAAGCGAGAGGACCATGGAAATGGCCAAAGGTGTGAGAGGCTGCGAAGTGATACCACCCAACCAAGTAGAAGTAAAATGCAAGTCAACGGAGAAGATCCTCTCACATGTGTTGTCTTTAACTCTCCACCAAGAGAGATGCTGTTGACTTGCTGCTCAAGGCGTCTGAATACTTGAGTTCTGCGTCCGAGAGGACATCAAGATTGCATACACCGATTCTGTGACCATCGGCCTCACGGGTAATAAAAGGTGTGATTGGGATGACTTGGAACATTTTTGTATGAGTATCGTGTATATATCGTGATAGAAGGTTGTAACTTGTAACTTTGCATTATCTATCTTAAGATTTGTTAGAAACAAATATCAATGTATAGATTGTGTAACAACTGATTTGTATTTGGGTTTAGACCTATTATTTAGAATTTATAATTGAAATAAATAACGTCTTTTTAATTGTGTATAAAACAGATCAATTAAATTTGTTTTGCGTTCACGTTAGCTTTTGCTAGTTCAGATCGTCAACGGCTGACATAATATTGTACTCGGAGTTATGTTTACCCTTAAAACATTTCACTTCAAATCAAATTAAAAATAAAATATAATAGCAAGAGAAGAAACCTACTCAAACAAAAGACTAAGCAAATCCTGGAAAAAAACCAACGACTATATCTCTGATAACCACAAAATTTAGGCGTTGTAATTTTACCTGTGGCAAGATCGAAGACACCACGAAATGGTCGATGGTCAAATTTAACGAACCAGATTGAACCACTCTTGACTCCATCACCAACATCTTGAACCGGTGCTCTTATTGTAGCACCATGACCGAAGATAATCATCTCATCATCTCCAATAGAATCTACTCTTTCCCATTTTCTACTCTCAGGATTCATTTTAAAGATCCAAAACGAACATGAATGATCTCCTGCTTTAACTCTCAAGATGATCAAAACCTCTCCCGATTTCTGAATCGCTATTCTCCTCTCCCAAATGATTTCCCCTACTCCCCGATTGTAGTTAAAAGAACGATTTCGATACGGGTTATTTTTTATTTCTTCTTTAGGGAAATCTCCAGAGAAATCAAAAATCTTGATGTAGTTATCGGTAGTACAGATATAAAGCTTGTTGTTCTTATAAGCCAAATCCAAATAACCAGCTTTAGTCCACTTCCTATGCCAACACCACGAGTCATCTCCTTTCTTGTGTGTGAACAAATAATGCTTATTAAAAATCCAAGCAACGAAATAATCCCCTGTCCTCTCGTTTATCCACAGAACAGCTGATCTTTTGTATTGGAATATTTCTTTCTCCACTATAAACATACACCGTTGGTCGATGAGAAGGTATCCCCAATGGCTGCATTCCCTGCTTTGCTCAAATCTCACTTGTGCACCACGAATCTTAGACTCCATTGGTGGAAGATTGATCCTTTTGCCCGTTAACAAGTTAACAATATAGAAATCAAGACGAGAATCTGCCATCAAGAGCCAGTTTCCAGAGCTAGCCAAACAATAGCTCTTGTCGGAAACTCCTGCGAGTTCCCTATAAATCTTTTCTTCGTCGGGATCGAACAACATCATAGAAGGACAATAAGTATACTTTTCTTCATATATGATCCGCCATGGACGCAGAGGCCGCGTTACGCATGTTTTCCAAACGGAATACCAATCTGAGCAAACAATTTTTGATCGGTAAAAATCAAGAGAGCTCAAGCTTTCGATGATCTTTCTCAAAAGATCAGGACAAAGCTTGGTGTTAAGATTGAGAGAGAGTTTGAGCGGAAATTTGGATTAATGAAGAATCATAGTTGAGAGAAAAGTGTTGTTATTAAAGGATAAACATTGTTTTTACAAAGTGGAGGCACACAAGTGCTTTTATATGAGAACACACTCTCTAGGGTTTATGGGTTGTGCACAAAGACTAATAGCACCCTCATTCAGACTTGTAACCCGAGTAACCCAAGTAACCTGTAACCCGAGTAACCCAAGTAACCTACATTTAACCCTTAACTATGACTTAGTTAGTGTTAAATGTCTTCTTGATTAACACTCCCCCTCAAGTTTATACCACAATGCCCAATTGTGTATAAACTTGGCACTTGTATGAATAACCTCATTAAAAACCTAAGTTTGGAAAACCACGTGGGACAAAACCAAGCTTAGGGAAAAAGAGTATTATCCCTACAAGTTGGAGAATATTTTTCAAGGATGTGTCAGGTCTACAAGACCAAGTTTACCATGAATAAATTGGCAAACTTGGTTACTTGCTGCCTTGGTAAAGATATCGGCCAATTGGTCCGAACTCTTAGTGTAACAAGGGAGAATCGTACCATCTTCTATCTTCTCTCTTGTCTTGTGGCAATCCATCTCTATGTGCTTGGTCCTCTCGTGGAACACGGGATTGGTAGCAATGTGGATGGCCGCTTGATTGTCACTATGAAAAGTGATTGGAGTCTTCTGCTCGATCCCAAAGTCCTTTAACAAAGCCTTTAGCCATGTTAACTCGTTTGTGAGTTTCTTCATAGCTCTATACTCTGCTTCAGCACTCGAACAAGAGACGACTTTCTGCTTCTTCGACTTCCAAGTCACAAGATTCCCACCAATGAATGTACAAAAACCAGTTGTTGATTGTCTTTTGTTGCGATCCCCATTGTAATCTGCATCGCAATATCCAACAATCTCTGTGCTAGAGTTTCTTCCCATCCATATGCCTTTGCCGGGACTTCCTTTGATATATCTCAAAATTCTCTCCACCAAACTCCAATGATAAACAGTGGGAGCTTGCATGTGTTGAGCTACCTGATTCACAGCAAAAGATAAATCAGGTCGAGTATATGTCAAGTAGATAAGCTTACCCACGAGTCTTCGGTATTGTTCGGGGCAATGATAAGGAGTGTCATCTTTCTCCCCCTTTCGATTGACCTTGTACCCTTGCTCGAGTGGTGTATCTACTGGTTTAGCTCCAAGCTTTCCTGTAAGTTTTAGAAGATCAAGAGCGTATTTCCTTGTGAGAGAAACAGTCCCTCCTTGGATCTACACACCTCAATCCCTAAGAAATACTTCAAAACACTCAAATCTTTAATATCAAAAGCAGAATGTAAAGAAGACTTGATAGCTTGGATACCTGCTTTGTTACTTCCAGAGATAATCAAGTCATCAACATAGATCAAAACTACTACAATTCCTTGATTATCCTGTTTAGTGAACAAAGTGTGATCAGAATGTGACCTTTTGAAGCCTTCTCTAAGCAAGGTTGATCTCAGCTTGTGATACCAAGCTCTTGGGGATTGTTTGAGGCCATAGATAGCTTTTCGAAGTCTTAACACCTTCCTTGGAGCCACTGTATCCTCTAAACCTGGAGGTGGTGTCATATACACTTCTTCTTCTAACTCCCCCTGAAGAAAAGCGTTCTTGACATCCATCTGCCACAATTCCCAATCCATATTCACCGCTAGAGAAAGAACAACCTTGACTGTGTGTTGCTTAGCTACTAGCGCAAAAGTTTCTCTATAGTCTTCACCATATGTCTGAGTAAACCCTCTTGCCACTAGCCTAGCCTTATATCTCTCAATTTCACCATCACTCTTATACTTTATGGTGAAAACCCATTTAGAACTAACACACCTCTTTCCCGGAGGTAGCTCCTCCACGTCCCATGTGTTGTTCTTTTCCATCGCTCCCACTTCATTATCTACCGCTTTTGTCCATTTCTCATTGCCTTGTGCTTCTTCATAGCTTTGGGGAATGATATGAGCATCAATTTGACTTAAGAAGGCCTTGTGTTCAGCGGGTAGAAGGTCCATCGAGCAAACTTGTTGAATGGGGTAAGTGACTTGATTAGCCGGGTAATGAAACTGATTGTCTCTCCACATTTCCGGACGATTGCGAGGGCGTGTGCTTCGTCGGGGAACCGGAGCTGTATGAAGAATAGTGTCATTGTCATTGTCATGGTCTGAGGAGTTCTCCAAGTCTTGTCCGGTCATATTGCTTTGAGAAGGACCCGATGGTATTTGATTTCCGGTAGGTACAGTATCATCATTGTAACCATGCTGAGGGCTGCCGTGAGCAGGTTGGGGAGAAGACGCTTCAGCCGTAGGTGCCGGATTACCAAGATGTTGGATGATGAACTCTAAGCTCTTTGCTCGATCCGAGGGACTATCCGAGATGTCTTTGACATTGTCCCAACTCTTTGTTTCAAAGTAGCTTTGTTCTTCGAAGAATTTAACGTCTCTTGATACCAACATCCTATTTGTAGAAGGATTGAAGCACTTATATCCCTTTTGAGTAGTAGAGTAGCCGAGAAACATACACTTTGTGCTTTTCGGTTCAAGCTTGTTTCTTTGATCTCCGGGAACTAGAACAAAGCAAACACTCCCAAAAACACGTAAGTGATCTAGAGAAGGCTTAGAATTATTAATTACCTCAAATGGTGATGCATTTTGTAGGATCTTTGTAGGGATCCGGTTGATTAGATAGCACGCGGATAACACCGCGTCTCCCCAAAAACGTTTTGGTACATTATGATGAAACATCATGGATCTCGCCACTTCCATCAAATGTCGATTCTTTCTCTCGGCCACACCATTTTGTTGTGGTGTATATGGACAACTTGTTTGATGAATGATCCCATGTCTTGTGAGATGATCTTTGAATGCTTGACTTGTATACTCTCCTCCATTATCCGACCTAAACACTTTGATCTTAGCATTATATTGGTTAGTTATATGATTTTGGAAGTTTTGGAACGCATCAAGTACACGGTCTTTAGAAGGGAGCAAAGTGAGCCAAGTATATTTTGATTTTTCATCAATGAAAGTCACAAAATACTTGTTATGGTCCCTTGAGATACAAGGTGCGGTCCATACATCCGAATGAACTAAATCAAAGCATTTTTCATAAATAGTTTTAGAGTTTGGAAAAACAGCCTTGCAATGTTTGCCAAGGATACAAGCCTCACATCTAGAGTTATCAAAAACAACATTTGGGAAAATTAAACTTAAAGCCCTCGAATGAGGATGACCTAAACAAAAATGCCATAAATCTTCTAGTGTGGCATTCATAGATAAAGGAACTTGATTTAAGACCGAAACACTTGAAGTACTTTGTAATGGATACGCCTTAAGCATATAAAGATCATCCTTAGTGTCTCCCTTTCCAAGTAGTTTCCCACTCTTAATATCCTGAAAATGCACATCGTTAGGTCCAAATTTTACATAACAATTCAAGTCTTTTGTTACCTTTTTCACCGAAAGGAGGTTACTAGTGAATTGGGGCATATAGAAAGCTTCGGATTTCTTATCAAATAAGTTAATTTGACCTATGCCTTCTATGTTTACTCTATCGCCATTGCCGGTAGCAACATGACCACTAGTGGATTTTATATTCTCAAGTAACTTAGCATTTTTAACCATATGGTGAGAGGCACCCGAATCAACAACATAGTGATCATTAGAAGTGCTCGAAATACTAGAGTAGAGAGAGATACCATTATTAGCGTTGAGCTTAGAGGCCATGGCTTGAAATAATGCTTCCAAGTCCGCCTTTTTCATCACTATATCTCCTTGAGAGATATGTGTAGTTGGAACCAAAGCTAGCTCTTGACCTGAGACTCCCTTGTTACCACTCTCTCCTTGACCCGAGCTAGAACCTTCGGCCATGTGAGCTCTTGGTTCCTTGAATTTGCTTGGCTTTAGATGAGGATGAAGTATCCAACATTTTTCTTTAATATGACCCTTTCGTTTACAATGCTCACACACCAAGTTTCTTCGATCTGCATTTGGTTTAAACACTCCTTTGCTTGCCACCGGTGTTTCCTCTTTCCCTTGAAGAGTTCCTTTGTTGGCCGTGGGTAGATCTCCCTTGTAGAACAAGCCAAGACCACCAATCTCCTTTTGGATTTGGGAACATGCCCCATCTAGAGTTGGTAGTTCATCTCCTCTTAGGATATGTTGAACTAGTCCGTTGAGATTTGGACTTAGACCCAAAAGCAAGCCAAAAACATTGTCTTGCTCTCGCCTCATGGCTAGCTCTTTTGGTTTGATTGTTGGAGGTCTTAGCATTTCGAGCTCAGCTAGGAGAGATCGGTACTTTCCAAAGTACTTCTTGAAGTCGAGATCCTCCATGTGTAAGTTGTTGATTGCTCTCTTGACTTCAAACACCCGAGTCAAGTTTGAGACATCGCCATACACATTCTTGAGTGTATCCCATAGTTCTTTAGCTCTCTCGCAGTAGGAGTAAGCTTGTAGTATAGACGTCTCAAGAGAATTTTGAAGGGCCACAAGCGCTACTTGGTCTTCTTGAGCCCACTTCTCCTCTTCGGGAGTGAGTTCTTTCTCTTCTTTTCCGTCTTCTTCTTCGATTTCAATCGAGGGATCTTTCTTCCCTTTGATGGCTTCAATGTGGTTCCATAATCCACAACTACCCAAGTTATTCTTCGCCGAGCGAGCCCATAAGAGGTAGTTTTCACCGTTGAGTGTAACCGGAATCACTATCCTTTTGAAGTGTGAGAAATTCTCCATGAGTGCACAGCGGATACAAGAGAAATAGATTTAGTGAAACAGGTTTGAGTTTAGAGAACAAATGAACAAGAGTACTTTTCTTTAACCGTTGGATAATAGCAACCAAGATGAGAAAGAACAGAGATTCGAAAATCAGAGATTCAAGGCCAGAGATTTAAAGAAAAATAGAAAGGAGAATAGAAAGGATTTAGAGTTTAGAATGAGGATCTTGCTCTGATACCATGTTAAGATTGAGAGAGAGTTTGAGCGGAAATTTGGATTAATGAAAAATCATAGTTGAGAGAAAAGTGTTGTTATTAAAGGATAAACATTGTTTTTACAAAGTGGAGGCACACAAGTGCTTTTATATGAGAACACACTCTCTAGGGTTTATGGGTTGTGCACAAAGACTAATAGCACCCTCATTCAGACTTGTAACCCGAGTAACCCAAGTAACCTGTAACCCGAGTAACCCAAGTAACCTACATTTAACCCTTAACTATGACTTAGTTAGTGTTAAATGTCTTCTTGATTAACACTTGGACCAATCATGACTGTCAGACACTTTTTGTGTCTCCTCTTTCTTCATCAAATCGGTCGGCATATCCATGCGTATACGTTTACGGTTTTCCTGCCGGCTGCCGAGCACTCTATAGATATAGGTTTAGTTTTTAAGGTTGGGACAATGATATTTTATTAATTTATAGTTATATTAATTTATAGAAAGTTTTGTTTTAATTGTTAAAAAAATTTTTTAAAAAAATATGATGGAAAACAATGTGATCTAAATAAATTAATGTTTTAGATGTTATAAATTTTATAGTTTTAGACTTAAACATTTAATATTTTGAAGAGAAAACAATTTTTTTTTTTTTGATAATGAATAACAAAAATTATAGAATTTCCATATATAAAAGATATACATAAATTAAAATTTATAAATAATGATTCTATAGTTGTATTTGAAAAACCTATAAGACTATTAAAAATGATGTATATTCAAAATTTAAAAACTTAAAATAAATTTTGGCTATTTTTATGAAAACACAATATATATATATATACAAATTTACATGATTATTAATTTATACTATTATTGGGACCATATTTTTACATAGGGATTTCAAAAAATTTATTATTTTATTATCTTATCGAATTTAATTAATTTTTACATTAGGCCAACAACCGGTAAAATTTATTAATTTATCGTGTTTATTAATTTATCGAATATTAATTTATAGAGGTTCTATTGTAAATATAACGAAATAGGAAAACTAACTAAAAAAATAAATTTACATGTATATAAGTTTGCACAACTTACTGTATATTCAAACCAAAACAATTATTTACCATAACGGCATAACCCAATACGATTAAACTTTGAGGAGAACCTAATTAGTCATCTTTCTTTCAGTTACTTGAAAGAAAAGTAACTGAAATTTTAACTGATTCCTCTGTCTTTAACCCTAATTGCGATAGCATAATTATATAAACTCTTGTCCTTCGACAAACGTACTCATTAATATTACTTATTAATAAACTCTGCAAGTTTCTTCACGACTTGACGAGCATTATCAGTATTAGGATTCTTCAAATGAAAAACATGACCTTCGTTTTTAGTCTCCATTACCTCAACTTCACCTTCCCATCCACTCTTCTTCAGCTTCGCCGCGTAACACCAACCTTGTCTCACAAACAGGTCATCTCCGGCTACCAGTACCAAAACCCGCCCGCAACCTAATCCGGATAGATCCGATGATTTGGATCCAACAACGTTGAGCCATGGATCATCAACTCCTTCTTTGCTATTCGGACTTGCGACTCTCCAACTTCCTTCAACACCTTTCGTCTTCCCCACGTCTCTAACCTCAAATTCATCAATTGGAGTCTTCCCCCAAAAATATGGATGAATCAAGATTATCCCTGAGATCACAGTTTCAAGTTTCTCTCTTTTCGCTCGAATCGTAAGATGATGTGCGATGTTTCCACCGGCGCTATCTCCGGCGAGAAACACTTTTCCGAAATCGCCGTGTTTGTTTATCCAAGTTTCCGGTCCGGTTCCGGTGATATGAGTTAAAACCCATTTGAGAGAATCCCATGAATCTTCGTATGGAATAGGAATCGGAAACTCCGGTGCACGGAGATAATCTACTGAGATCGCTAAACATTTAGCGGCGGCGACGGCAGATGTGAGGAAAGTGTGGTAAGTTGGAGAAAAAGCTGTTTCTATGATGAAACCACCACCGTGGAAGTAGATGAGAATTGGGAGCTTTTTGTCGGTGATGTCCGAGACTTTCTCCGGGAGGTAGATGCGGAGGAAAAGGTTTTTCTCCGGTGAATAGATGACATCTTTGGAGACGACGCCGTTTTGTGGTGTTAGAGATGGTGGGACGGTTGTTTCTCCTAAGAGACGCTCAATGCGGCCACTCTTGTAGACTCGAAACGCCGGAGATCTATCGAAAGCGACTTCTGAATCCATTTTGTTGCTTGGACTAGAGATCATAGAAAGAACTGTTAGAGACTTAGAGATGAGTGAAGACGATGAGAAGAAGATAAGAAGAGTGTTTTGTAGCAAACGAGGAATTCAGTTTTTTTTTTTACGGTTGGTCCGGTTTGATTTTTGTGTTCCGGTTGATTCAATTTTGCAAAAAAGATTTGACCAGTTTGTGGGTTTGGTTAAAACCAGATGAGTGTACATGTAGTGAATGTAGAGCTTTGATAGCGTGAAAGTGATGTTGGGTCTATCTAGCGTGAAAGTGATGTTGGGATACAAATGGTTGGATCACTCGATGTCTCCTAACTCATATGGATGTGACTTATGGACAAACCGATTTCCTTGAATATTGTATGGAGGAAAACAAAAATCACATAAACAAATGATTCATGTTGATTTATATTAGAACAAGAACATGCTATATGTTCTTAGATTTAATTACAGCCATCTAATCTTTAGCTCATAGAGAAAATTTATATTATATAAAAAATAATATAAAATTATACAATCTATGGGATCTTTTTTTTTTCCATTGTTTTTTTATATCAATTTTAGGAATATGTAGTTTTCTTTCACACAATTGTCAATTAGGCCTTGCATGTTTATTAGTTTTTAAGTGGTTTTTAGTTTTTGTTTCTATGAAAATATATGTTTTTACAATTCAAGATTTCTAAAAATGAATTTTTAAATTTTTTTTAGGAAAACTAGTTTTCGAATGATTTCTCCGAGTTTCAAAGAAAAACTATAAACCATGGTTTAAAGTGGTTTTAATTCTTCCAAAATTGTATTTTAAAACCTTTGAAGATTATGAGAAAAATTGTTTCCCTACAAAAATAGAGAATCTAGATTTTGAGATCTTTTGCCAAATTTCAAAGAACAATTAAAAACTATGTTACATTGGTTTCTCACTTTTTAAAAAGACTATGTTACAAATTTCGTTTTTTTTTAATTTGTTTTTTATGCAAAATCTAAAAACCATAAACTAATTGCGTTTGAAGTAGAGATGTGTTGTCTTGTTGATTTTCATGATCTATATACACTCATATAATGACCCTTGTCTGTTGTTTGACCAGATCATGATGATCCTTCGAAGACCAATGACCAAAAGACGCCTTGGTTTAATTGTATGACTCATTTCCTTCTTTTTCAATATTGTTTCTTCTGTTTTGCCAAAGCCTAGAATATTGCTGAAAGCCCAAGATACTGTGACACAGAGAACTCAGTTTGATTGTAGGGTTCAGGGAAACATGATGCTAGTGGGATATGTGCAGCTAAAGAGGTCATAGAACTAATCAGGTGTAACCTAAAGTATGACTACATATAACTCCATGATCTAACCTATGAATACAGTGATTCTTGATGTAATGGCTTCTGTAACCGTTGATTTATGTATATACTTGAGCAAGCTGGGTAAGGAAGTTCGGGCTATCGTCTTTTGTAGATCCGATCTGACCAAAAGTGAAAGCTATGATAATGGCAGCCAACAAATTAGTTATGGAGTAATCAAGATAAGTGTGTTGAGGGAGACAGCCACCTACGTCTCTCAAAGTGTTGGCACTTCCTTTGCTCTCCACTAGATACATAATTTTTCGACGAAAAAAACCCAATCAATATAGTTAGCCCCTGGAAGAAAAACTGTTGGTTTAGACATAAGACTTTTTTTAATCCTCTTAGGAACCACCTTTACTCTGACTTAGTGCTAACATTTGGTCTACTAATCGATTTCTAAAGCAAAGAGTCTAACTATACTATGGAAGCATGATCAAGGATTAAATCTCATAGTTGAAGGATTGAATACACTTAAGAATAAGGCTCTGAATATCAATGAGGTTCACCTATATATACCGATATCTTTTTACTCTGTAGATTTTATGATTCCGTTTACAGATCATTTCTTAGTAAATCGGAAAGAACTAGACGGAGGCAAAGAGGTTACACTTGATTATTATTATTTTCTACAAAAAATTACGATAAATAGACTCAATCTTAAAACCATTTATTGAGATTGTTACACAACTATCTAATGAAGAGTTGTTGTTGAAAAAGCGAGAATGGATATAAAAATCATGGTGAAAATATAAAACCCTGAATGGTGTATTAAGAAAAAGTTATAATGAGAAGACGCAACTTACTAAAAATAAAACTATTTAGTAACTAAAATAAAACTATGAGTATATTTTACGAAGATGTACAATAAATAGTAGTAAAAGGCATTTTTCATATTGTTATAACTTTTGGCTCGTTTGATTTCAATGCTCACATGAATTTGACAAAACTGAAATAACTTCATTTTTTTTTTTGATAGGAATGTGAATTTCGTATAAATGAAGTGTTGAGGTTTTACAAAGAGTTGATTTCAATGCTCTCATGAATTTGACAAAACTGAACCAACTACATGCTTTAGGAGACTTTAGACGCTTCAGTATGCATATATGTCCCAGATTTTCCTTCCAATTGCTTTATTTTCCTATACAATTTTTATTCAAAGAGTCTCGTTTTTGGTTTAGACATAAGGCTTCTTGTAATTCTCTTAAGAACCACCTCTAATCACTTTGGTCAAAAGAAAACTTCATTTTTACCGAGGAGCTCAACCAAAAATGAACCGACGACGCTAACTCTATACAATGAAAATTTTTTCTATTGTGCCTTATTGGTGACCTACAATCTAAGATTCAAGAGCATGTTTGCCATTTTTTTTTTTTAAAAGAATGTAAAATTATATTCAACCCAAAAAAACCTTGTTTACAATATATGTAACCTTAATTGGCATGTTTGCCTTTTCTTGATTTAGTATATATCATTCAGATTCTAGCCATCTACTGACTTGAAAAGCACCAATGTGAGGCTCAAAGATACAGTAACAAAAGTGATAAACACATATATACATTATTATAAGATCGATCCAGCTCGAAACAAAACTCATTTGATATAATTAAGCTCATGAGCACCAATGATCAGGCTCATCCTCTTATGCATACTTCTTGGGAACCGCTGACTTTATATTTACGCAACCTCTTATGTTGCAACTAATTTGATATACAATACTATGTAATGTTGCTTTAATAGAAAATATATAAACACAAATCTAACAAAAAATCGACATGAAAACGTGTGTTACTTTACGCACTCATCATTAATAAAGATATCAAGATCACATTTGATTAAATATAAGCTGGATCAATGGATCCTTTGGGCTCGTCCTGGATTGCTTTCATTGAGTTAGCCATTAGCTCCCGGACAAGTAGAAATCCCAACCCCCTACACCATCTGCAACACCAAAAGCTTCCTCCAGTGTCCTCTTTATTAGGATTGCAGTAGATAAACACAACCCTGAGACAAGCTTCAGGGGATTAGTACATAGGGCTAAACCGCTACAGATTCTCTTACCTATTCCTCGGTGGTGGAAGGCGCATTTCCATCTGCAAAGTGATTGAAGAATGAGCTACTATGCAAGCCTTTTTCAGGTCGTTTGACAGGTTTGTTTCCTTCTTTTGGTGGGCCTGGCTCTATTGCTGTTCTTTTTCAGTTCTTCCGTTGTTGGGCCTACGTGCCTGGTTTTGGCCTTGTATTTGTTTTTGTTTTAATGGAAATTTAAAGTAAAAAAAAATAAAAATTGCAACGTTAATTGGTACGACGATACAACAAAAATTATGGAACCAAAATTTGGGTTATAGCAAATGATCTAACAACTAGTAATGGCCCCGAAATTTGGGTTAGTTAAGTGGGCTTGTAACTTGGGTTAGTTAGAGAAAGGGTAATCATAGTAACAACGTTACGTAGATGAGAGAGAGAGAACGTACAAATCCATGCACCCAATAAATAGCAAGCAAGAAACATAGGTTTCATTTATTTATGTGACAAATTTATAAAAGCCATGACAAGATGATATCTTTGGCATCATCAGACTACTTCGCTATTCTATGACAACACGTTTATTTAGCATATCTAATTAATAATCAGTTTACTTTCGGCATCTCTTAAAGATGTAAATAAAATTTTCTCTTCATTTATCACTTCTATAAAACTGAAGATTTAAAACAATAATAATAATAAAAAGTAAGTTGACAAAAAAAAAGCAAAAAAAATGCAAAAACTAAGCTAAATATATGTAAAATGGGGAAAAAAAAAAACACAAAAACTATCAAATTTAATCGAGTACGATTAAAGTCAGTTAATTAAGCATCCATCTTAGTGTTGGCACTTGGCAGGTGAACATATCGTCAAATCATTCACCGCTCAAATTTAACTGTTGATTATTACTATAATATTTTCACTTAACAGTTATTCAAAAAAACCACAAATGATGATGATACTATACTAGATGTTTTGGTTTTCCTTTGATGTCATATCGTCAAAGACTCGTGTTTAAACTATCAATACATGTGTAAAATTAAGGGATCTTATTCTCTTGTGCCCTTATATCCAAAACCCATTTCTTTCTAAAGTTTTAACCAATATTAAGGATCCATCATAATATTGGTAGGTGAACATTTTCTTTCTAAAGTTTTAATTATTTTAGAGTTTTACCCCTCAAGTCTTCATACACAACTATTCGATTTAATATAACCCACTCAGATTGATACCATAAAATAATAAAAATCCAACCAACAGTTACTTTTATATAAGCTAAATAAAAAGGACCTAACTTTTGTTGCGGCATTGTGTGTTTGATTTTGAGAAGGATGTATGAGAGGGAGAGAGAGCGAGAGATGCTCTTTTTGTTGGGCTAAGCTTGAAGTTTAAAGAGTAACATGAGGCCCAAGAAAGCTTGAAGTCGGTGTGATCAAGTGACTTAGAGAAGTCGGTGTGTTTTAGGATTTGGAGTTATCAAAGCCCTAATTGTAAGTCGGTTTAGGAGTTATCTAAACCCTATAAATAGATGTGTTGTGTATCGGTTTTATATGTGTGAAACTTGAGAGATTGAGAGATTGTATAGCTTAGGTTTTTGAGTTAGTTTTCCTAATTGAATAAAGAGTTGTTTTCGAGTTCATCTTCTTGTTCATCATAAGTGTTTAGGTCAATAATTGGTATCAGAGCGTAAAGATTGATCCAAACACAAAGAACAAATCTGAATCACGAGTAGGTGATTCATATAAGAACCATGGGAGATTTGGTTCCGGTTACAAACAAAGACGGAGGCAGCTCCTCCGCTATTCAATGTCCGATGCTCAACTCAACCAACTATACTTTTTGGACGATACGCATGACTATGGCTCCTAAAGTTC